CTGCGTTTTTAAAACTGGGCAACAATGCCCAGTGGCTCTAAAGACACGTCTTTGGCTTAGCACTGTGCATGTGTGTTTCAACATGTGAGTTCTCCAAACCAGCAAAATGGCAAATCTCTTGTCCACGTAAACTAGAAACAAAAATATCACAGTGCTGAGACACAGTGTTGATAGATTGATGGAATATCTGAGCAGTGGTTTACACCATCTTATTTACACCCACTCCAAGAAAGACAGACACAGACAGATGTAATTTTATCTGGATTTATTTTCTTACTGTGTTTTGCTAACAGTTCCCTACACTTGTATGGATTTTTAAAAGGTAAGAAAATCCAATAAAGTTAAATTAGTTTTTTGGCTTTACTCGGCAGAATCATTTCTAAATCACCTTCATCACTTCATCATTGTTTTCAACATGATTTGATATGTTGGTTTATTTACAAGGTTTGTTTTTCCCTATGTCTGCACTTGTTTCTGTATCTGAATGTGTGTGTTTGTGCATGTGTGTGTGTGTGCGTGTGTGTGCGTGTGTGTGTGTGTGTGTGTGTGTGTGTGTGTGTGTGTGTGTGTGTGTGTGTTTGTGCATGTGCGTGTGTGTGCGTGTGTGTGTGCGTGTGTGCGTGTGTGTGTGTGTGTGTGTGTGTGCAAGGTCTCACTTGGGTGTGTCTGCCTTGTTGCTGCTCAGGTGGGTGTTTACCTCTCATAGCGTTCTTACTGTGTTTGTGTGTAAGAGCAGACAGGATATGCGGTGCATGTCAGCACGCTCCCAAGAGATGAAAGGAAGGTGAGGGTGTGGAAGTAGCCAAGTGCCGTTCAGGTAACAGGTTGTCTGTTCAGAAATCTCTCAAGAATTCAGTCCTGTTGCCTTCAGCATTCCTATTGAGCCACAAGTGAGCCCCACTCACCACAAGCTGCTTTCGAAAAATAACTCAACACCTCATACAAAATCTGTGGGCATAACTGAACACCGATAGGTTCCAGGTGCTCAATCTCCAAACACAACTATTAGTTGAACACTTGGAGTAGCTAGGTGTGTGTGCTCCTTGTTTGCATGTTAACCTCTCATTGGTTAACTGCTGTAAACTGATTGCATCACAGTCAGTTTTAACGATGAGGCCTCCTGGCATGCATTTTGATGAGCAGTATTATTGACAGGACAAAAGTCTGGGTTGGATGTTCTGAATTAATCACCAACAACACCGTCAGTCACCACAATGCGGTTGGGCAGGTTTTGCATTATTGGAGTTAAAACATACAGTAACCACATGCTTTACAATCCATTGTTAACACAGGTGACGTTGTAGTTCCACAACTTCTCAATCGTCATGTTATAGACTGAATGTTCAATTTTCAAAACTATATTGTAAAGAAAGAAAAGTTAGTTGTTACAAAGTAAGCCTGATAATCAATGTGCATTTGTGTTTAAGTCATTATTCACTCAGACATAATGTTTCTGTGATCTTCATTCTCTTGGAAAGTGGTTTGTCCCAATAAGTACTAAGTAACAAGTTCTGTGTTTTATGTATCAATGTTTTATGAAAGGTGTATAGAACAAATCTGTGTGAAGTCCCAGGACAACAATAACTTAACGTAGAAGATAAAGCTGTATGGAAAGAGTTCAACAGTTTGTGTTTTTATTCAAGAGTTAAAAATGGTTGCCTGATCTTGCCTGATCTTGCCTGATGATGTGCTTATTTTATTTTATATTTATCTAAAGGTATTACTAAACTGGTCTGTGTGTGTCCATAGCTTGTCAAATTGAACACACTAGCTGTGCTCATTTCCTTTCAAGAAAAAAAGTGACATCTCAGATTTGCCCATACAATCTTAAAATCACTGAAATATTTTGGCCATCGCGTTCTTTGATTTAGACCACAGCTATATATTTCTAATGTGGAGGATAGAGCTGAGATTTATTGTGCCACACCATATAATCAAATGTCCCACATATCCAGTGATCCTATACGTACTGCTGGGTCTGGTTGAAGAAGGGTAAAGACGTGTGGTTGGGAAGTGATTATCAGTTGTTTCATCATTACCACAAAGGTGTTTTTTTTCTTCACATTAGACATTTGATTTGATTATTGGATTCACTTTTGTATAGAAGTTTGACTAATGTAGCTTTTATACTTGTTATGTTTAGCACTATCCATTTTTTCTATTTGTCACCAAATTTTCTGTTACTATTTATCTTGCTCATGCACAGTGACAGGACAAAATGTTTGTTCATTGATAAAAAAAAGAAAAACAAGAAGCAATTGTAGAAAAAAAGGCTGCACCAGAAGGTTTCAAGAATTAAAAGTGTCCTCCCAGAAACTGTATTTTTTTTTCCATTGAAGGTACATCTATGAAAACTATTCAGAGTCGCAGGGACAAAGCTGATAGACGACGTGTTGCTATTACATTTTTTTTTAACTTAAAAAACTTCAGTTAAAGGTCTGAAATAGCACCACAAAAGAAATTGTTTTCCCTTCCACTGTTTTGGGTTCTATTTGCATTGCAAGAAACTTTAACCTATAAAATGATTTTGGTGATTTGACCCCTTATAAACACCACAGGATGAAGTTAGATAAATGCAAAGAAAAGGTGGAAGGCGTTAGGAAGTGAAAGAGTGAGCCCACTGACAGGAAGTGTCAGCTAAGTCATCTAATCAAACATGAATGGGAGACATAAACACACTGACACACACAGGTCATTTTCCAAACTTTAATTACACTGATAAGTCAACATGAGATTCAGTGGCTGGTAAAAGGCACCGGTACATCTTAAGGATTCAAAGTAACAGAAAAGAGGAAACTTTAAGGACGTTTTGAAATACATTTATTTTCGTTTACAGTTAAAAGTTTTGACTTTGTACAACCGTTTCAGTTTCCTACATTCTTAGCGTGTTGTGTAAAATAAAAAAAGGATGTGGAAATTTGCAAAGATTTAAACCCAATTTAAAATAGCACAAAGACAACAATAAAATGTTGAAACTCATGATGCTGATGATTATATGCCCCAATTTGAATTTGATGTGACATCATAAAAGCTGGCACAACTTCAACAAAAGACAGCAAGAGTTGTGAAATGCTTAAGAAAAAGACCTGATGGAAAATCTCACAATTGATAAAGGTTATCTGACATCAGGTTAGTAACATGAATGAATCTAAATGAATCTCAGAGGACAAGGTCAAAAACAAAGGTTGGATGTCAATGATCTCCCCTTCAGACGGAACAACATTAAAAACAGACACAACAGACATTCAATATTTTTGCTACTTAAATCAAATATGGGGTTACGACGTTTTTATTTTCATTTTACACAACCTACCAACATTTTACTACATGGGGTTGTAAATTAGAATGGTTAAAATATAGTTTTTGGAAAGTTTTGGTAGTTAGTTACATTTTAAATTAGCAAAACAATTTGGCTGCATTATTATTGCAAATATAAGCAGTAAATATCTTGTCATCCTATTTCTTCCAGTTAGCATAGTTATGATAATGTAAGTACTTATGTTCATTTTTAAATGCTTTATTAGATTGTTCAATGCCACTTAATAGTTATCCTGATTACATTTCACATATAAAGATTGAAAAAAAACAACTAATGCTCTAAATGTATGCCAAATGCATTTTTTTTTTTTTTTAAATGTATGATACATTGTAATGAACTAAAAGTATATAAAGTACTTCCAGTGCAGAACATCAGATGCTGCTTCATTGCATGTGGAAAAATCAAATACAACGTTGCGTATCAAACACTTTCAATACCACAAAAAGTAAAATATCCTAAAGTGAAAGGCCATTCCGTAGTTTAATTCTTCTTTGGTTCTTTGGAAAGATTTCGAAAAGGGGAAAAAAATCAAATTTCTTTGGGAAGGCTCTAACTTTTTATTTTAAATCCTAAAGCTTTTAGTAAAGTACATTCTGAGACTGCTCCTGTAAAATGCTTTGCATCCTGAATACATGGACACACTTATTTGTCACCTTAAATTTGACTCTTCTACGTTTAGATCTGTCGCAATCAGTAGCAACATTTTTTAATATCGTTGAAGAGATCATTTTCTTGGTGACATCTTCCATGTGCATGCTCAGACTGTAGGACAGACTAGATATACAGACAGACTTAAATTAAATATGAGTAGCACACTAAATCCCACATTTCCTATAATGCAAGCTTAACCCTGGTGACGTCATGTGGATAGTTGTTTTAAGAGTTTCAACACGCATCTAGAGCAACAAAAGACAATATATCCTACAACTATCCACAGGCTGAGTCACACTCCACTACGTGTGGAGTAAATGAAACCTGGTGTGTAAATGGGTGGAGTGCCCCTCCACTCTGTGGCACTTATGCTCCTGATGAAAAACTTGTTTACATTGGTGAATACATGGTGAGACGTTTGTCCAGCTCATCATTTTGACTCACACAGACATGAACTCATGACTTGGTGAAGCTGATAATCAGTAACTGTGATGAACAAATAGTTTGCATATAATTAAAGTTTTATTGGTACACACTAAGCCTATATTTACAATGAGTGTGGTGTCATAAAATTATTTATTTATTGAAAACTTGTTTTGTAGTTATGTAGGGTATCATAAGTTTACTTCTTCCTGTGAGTGGGGTTCAGCATTATAATGGGTGTGGGGTTTTTCAGTCTGATAAACAGACGGAGGGGAGTCTACATCATCAGGCCTGCTGTGCAGCTTTTCACAGGTGTGGACTGGCCGGTCGTGTGAGACGGTGAGCTGTGCTTGTGGCCAGACGAGACGAGACCTTTAAGTACATACCTTTGGATTTCTCGGTCATGTGACCGGGTTTCTACAACCTGCCTTCCTCCAGTCGGCTGCACGCTCCCACCATTGCAAAAAGAAGGTAACCATTTTTTCCAGTATTCACAGACTAGCACTACTTATTGCAGATTATTAAGCGCCTACATTCTCCCCTTTCTAAACCCCCCATGAAAAAGCGGAATGACATGACGCACCAGGCGCGTCGCTGCTCCGGAAAGACACCGGGGCTGTCAGTGAGCCCAGGCAGGCCTTCAATCTGATAGAAACACTGAAAAACAAACCGAGCTCCGCAGCTCGACACCGCTTCTATCAGCAGACTTTTACGCACATTATTTCCGGATCGATCGCGATACATGGTCGTGAAGTCGAGACGACAGTGTTAATAGAGCAACGTGGCGGTGGGATTTGAGAAGATTACAGTCAATAAAGTCTCTCTGCACAAGACTGCCTCCTAATCCCTGTGTGAAAGGGATGGGCAGTGCACCGGCTAGATCCGACTTTCTGCAAAAAGCTGGGTGGGGGAACAGAAGCAGACTCTTCCCTCTTCACTCCACACATGTGTTATGGACCAACAGGGTGTGCTGGATGTCAAACACATTGTCAGACTCTTACGAGGAGTTTAAAAAACAGATTGTTTACATGGTGTCGGCTAGTTATATGGCTGAAGGAACAGCTTAATTTACACATCATCACTTATCATTTCTCCCCAGACTTTCTTACAGTTTCCCCCCCACCCGTTCATTTTGTTGTTGTTGTCTCTTTGTTGCAGGATGGCAGAGCCTCCCATGTCATGTGATTGTTTTGTTTCCTTGCCACCTGGATCTCGCGATGACCATGTGATTTTTGGGAAGAACTCAGACCGACCCCGGGATGAGGTGCAGGAGGTGGCCCACTACCCTGCAGCATCACACCCTCCAGGCTCCACGCTGGAGGTAAAGCAGCCCTGAAACACACAAGTAATGCACAGACAAATACATTCATGTAAAAGTATTAACCACATTGGACTTTCCACCATTTTTTACTGGTACTCATTGGATTCAAATACTTTTCCCTTTAACAGAAAAAGCAGTACAAAAAAAGACATCGGTTCGATGCAGAAGTCAAACCTGAGGCCACTAGTTGCACATCCTCTTTTTTTCTGAGGGTTTCACAGCAAAGCCCTAACAAATAGTGTACCATGTAATAGTTCCCCTCATACTTTATACTCCATTGCACATGATCCCGATTCATTTTAATGTGTAATTTTAACAACAAAAAAAAACAGCATATGGAAATTTGCAGAGATTCATATTGATGCGATAGTTTTCACAATGATCGACTCTAATGTGAAACTGTGGTGAAATATTTACATGGAAATATTCTTTCCTGTTAATTTTTAAAGGAAACAAAGTCAAAGTTTAAACCTGCTGATTGAATCTTTTCTCTCTTTCACCTCTCGTCATGAAGTTAAGGTTTTCGCTCTCCCTAATCTGCCTTCATGTAAATACATTTGGGGTGAATGATTGAATGTATGTGCTGTTCAAGGCATCAAAGTTTTTCATGTATTAAAATTTCTTGTCCAGCCTGAAGCATGTAGTCCCAGGAACTTCTCAAAGAAACTAAAAAGTTACTTCAACTGGGAATTTAAGGCAAACTAGTCTGATGTATTAAAGAAAGAGAACTATAGATCGTTGTCCAAACATTGTTGGTCCATCTGTTGCATGCTTTTCTTCTGTAACCACATTGCAGTGCTGAAGCTTGTTGAACAAAACAAAAACAAAGTCATTTGTTTCTGCAGACTTCTAATAATGGTGGATGAAATAAAAGACGAGGAAGTTCCTGCAGTGGAAACGTGACCATAGGTTATTTCTGAAACTTGGTGCTTGTTACACATAAACATGTTTGATAATAAATGCTTTTAACCTAGAAAATAGTTTTTTATAAACAGCTTCTTTTAAAGATGAACTTTATTAGTGTTTATTTCCCCCCCAGACCCAAACTATACTTGTCAAACTAACTTTTCTATGTTTGCATTCATTAAAAATACAGTGTTCAAACAATCTGATCGCATCATTTCCCATCAAAATAATTTTTATAGCAAAATAAGTACATGATAGAGAAGTAAACCAAGACTGAAAAACAGGAAATATTTTCTTTTTGGGGTAAATTAACATTTTCAAAAATCATACAATAAAGGGACACAATGCTGATGAACATCTCAGTCTTTATTTATTTAATATAGTCACACATGCACCTGCATAACTATAAAATAAATGTAATGTTTCTTCCCAAACATCTAAAAAGATCCGTTTGTAAAATGTCATATAACTTCTCTTGCTCTCGTTGTGATTGGAACAACTTGATGAAATGTATCTTAGAAAAAGACATGTTTCACTGATGGGAATTCTGCTTTAAAGCATTGCAACGCATGATACAAATGTGTTAAGAAGCATGATAACAATAATTGATGTATGGTAAGAAGTTGCACTTTCTCTTTTAGTTTCACTGACGATGGAAATAATGAAATTGTTGTTATGGCCTTGGGTGTTCATCTTTAGAATACCTGAAGCTGATTCTTGTCCAAAACAAGTTAGACTTCTCACAAATATGTTGGTGCATTGTGACCCTAATATGACCTGTGTCTTGCTCACTTCCTTTTTTTTCTGCAGTGCACATACATCCAGATCCCTCAGGTGGAGCAGACGCACGCTGTCGTCCTCAGTAAGCCCGCCTGGATGTGGGGCGCTGAAATGGGAGCTAATGATCAGGGAGTCTGTATTGGGAATGAGGCTGTCTGGACAAGAGAGCCTGTCGCCTCCGGAGAGGCTCTGCTGGGCATGGACTTTGTTCGGTGAGCACCTAAAAACTTTGGTACTGTGTTCCCAAAAAAATAAAATAAATCATTTTCTAGGTGGGGTTTGTTTCTGTAGTAAAGGTTTCAATGATGAAATCGTGAAACAGACTGTGGATCATCTTAGGATTTATTCATACACAGAAACGTTACACACATGGCTGACAAAATGCTGACCCGTGCTGACCCATGCTGACCAATGATGACCAAGATCTGACCATCGCTCACCAATGTGTTGCTTATATTCTGCTAGAAAGTACAGCCCACAAATTCCTTTCCAAACCCAAAAGACCCAGAAGAAGAATTACCCTTAGATGGTTGACAGAAGTAAATGATATATCCACAAAATGATCAAGATGAATGAATTCATGACAATACATACTTACAATCCTTATGGATATAAATCAGCTTATCCAATTTCAGCAATAATGAAACAATAATCTTCAGCTGACGGGAGAAACGTTTTATTTCTTATTAATTACAGTTCGGATATTGTGTATTTAGTATTAACCTAATCCTCTTGTTAGGGTGTGTACATTGTCAGAAACATGTTATGACAAATGTTTAAGTACCGCAGTAGCATTTCCTCCAAATCACAAAATGAAGAGGCGCATGTAAACTCACAGGCTCAACCGGTTCTCTCTGTTAATGAAAGGAGAGTCATTGACTTTCTTACATTTATAACCACATGACTGTTGCCTGACTATAAAAGTTAAAGGTAATCAAATCATCTGTCTTTAATGGACAGACTGGGGCTGGAGCGCGGTGACAGTGCCTGGGCGGCGCTCACTGTGATCACCGGCCTCCTGGAGCAGTACGGCCAGGGAGGGCAGTGCAGGGAGGATCCTGAGCCCTTCAGCTACCACAACACCTTCCTCCTGGTGGACCGCCAGGAGGCCTGGGTCCTGGAAACTGCTGGAAAACTGTGGGTGGCACAGAGGGTAACAGGTGAGGATGCAGAAGGGAACAAGGTGAAACAGGGTGCATGTGTAGTTTAGACATATACTCTTTTATTTTACTTTCTTTTTTTTTTATACTCTTTATTGAGAATTTCAATACAACACACAATACCCCCCCACCCCAAGTGACCAGACAGTATATTCAACTAAACAGAAAGAATTACAGAATAATATAGGAAACAAATGAATAGTAATAATAAAAAAAATTAAAGCAATGTAAAAAAGAAACTAAAACTAAAAAAACCTATATATATGTAAATTTACATGCTCTTACACTCTTGCACATATACATGTATATACACAAAATGAAATAATAAGAACAATAATAAAAGATATATCAGACTTATATTAAAAAACAACTACAATAACATAAATGTATCATATGAATTCAGAAAAAATAAATAAAAAAATAAAAAAAGCTTCCAGCCCACCATATGTAGACAAAAGTGTAGAATACAAATACTCTTTTAATGAAATTCAAAAGCTCTATTTGCATCAACTTTAAGGAAACTATTTTACCAAGGCATCAAAAGACAATCTTATTTTCTCACAATTGATGCTGGGATGTTGATATTTGGCGTCACCACTAACACATCAACAGAACTTTATTTAAAATGACAAAGCCTATTGCTCATTACATGGCTTTTTAACACCTCAGATTGTTGTCCTGCTTACTTTGAACAAACCTATGTGGTCTGTACTTTTCTGAAGATGTTTTGATAACCATCTGTCAGCCTTCATTAAAATGCAGTGTGCTTTGGCTGCAGTTAAAAAAAAGTAGTAGGAATAAAGAGTTACTGACCATACCAGGATGATTATATTGCATGTACACCACCTTCTGCTGAGAAGCTCATTAGAATCAGAATCAGAATCGGGGTTTATTTAGTACATTTACACATTTACACATTTTACACACACATTTACACACACAAGGAATTTGACTTGGTATAATACAGTATACGAAGATATTACAATATATAAAATAGAATTTAAAAATGTAAAATATTAAATATAAAAAATAAAGATAAAAAACACAAAATGTACAAAAGGTGCAATGTAGGCGCTGTGCAGTGGACTATGAGAAAAAAAATCTTAATGTGTGTAACTACTCACATTAATCAGTAACTACTCAATTTTAATCCTACATCCATTATTCTGCGTAGTATTCCTTGTAGGCTGTCAACTCTGCATCTCTCTGACCTGATGTTTCAACCTGAAACGCGTCGGTCTAATTTGTTAACAATGTTGATCTTCTGTAAGTGTTGCCAGAGCTTTTTTGACCTCTTCATGCACCCGTGTTATTTGGTGAAGTTGTTCCAGAAAATCCCGCTCTGCTTGATGTTTCAACCTCAAAGGCTTTCTCTGGACTTTGGATGATTTCGACTGCACATGATCGCAGGATTAAACCCAGTGAAGCTTTAAGTAATATACTAGCATTGGATGGCTAACATGCTCACAACGCCTTTGCTAACATGTTGCTGTTCAGCACTTGTAATGTCAATCTCAATATCTCACTTCAAAAAGGTTAATCGATCCTTTACTTACAAGCACTAAACACAAAGGTGTACACTGAGGTGTATTATCACTGATTAGTTTTTTAGGGTAGGAAACTGTATTTAACGTGCTTTAGTTCTCAATAAATTTGAGCAACACTGAAATGCTCCAGAGTGTTAAAATATTGAAGTACCTGCATGACTCATATCTGCTCTTTAATGTGGCAAACTTTAATAACAAAGTAAATAAAACGTTTTCAGATCTCTTTGTTCACAAGTCATTTCTCGACATGAGTCCACAGATTATAAAGATGTGTTATTACAATTCAGGAAATCCTGAAATTGTGATAAAGCGTTCCTCATTCATCATGTCTGGATCCCTCTGTCAGCTGGAGATAAACTGTGCAAGCTACTTTGCTAAGACCAAGCTAAATAATGGTAATTGGACTTGAGCTTGCATAGTGCTTTTCTAGTCTTCTGACTACTCGAAGCACATGTCACACCTACACATTCACACTGGTGGCAGAGGTTGTTATGTAAAGTGACCATCAGAAGTAACTAATCCCATTCATACACACTCATACACCACAGACGAAGCAACAGGAGAGATGACGGACTCTGCCAACTGAGCCACAGCCACCCATACTTCTAATATACTGTATGACAGCTCAAGATTAGATTCAGATTATATTATTAGTATTATTTTTTCTTTCTAAACCTTAATTTAATTATCTTTTTTCTCTTCGTACCTTTTCTTTGGATTTTTATTTATTTTTATTTTATTTCATGTTGTATGTATTCTTGTATGTTTAAAGAATTATATAGAAAAATGTGCCAGGATGAACAAAATTTGTGATGAAATATGACAACTTGAATGTAGTAAAACAGCCTGCAATAAAGTAATTAAAAAAAAAAGATTAGATTCAGGACAAAATCATTGTCAAGTAAAAAAAAGGAAAGGGTGTTAAAATTCAAAAAGTGTCGCAGTCCTAAACAAAGGATTTTCTCGTGCATTTCAAAGACAGAACTCTATCCACATTGTAACACTTGTTTTTTTTTTTTTTTATCTCAGAGGGTGTGAAGAACATCTCCAACCAACTGACGATCGGTGCCGAGGTCTCTGCAGAGCACCCGGAGCTGCGCAGCGTGGCTCAGGCAGAGGGCTGGTGGGACGGAGAGGGAGAGTTCAACTTCTCCCAGGTGTTCAGCCCAGAGGACCCCCCTGCCAGGATGGAGCTGGCCAAACAGCGCTACAAAGGAGGCACGGAGCTACTCCGGCAACATGACGGTGAGGGGGGGTCGGCTTTCATTACCACGAGTTTCAATGCTGCAAAGACTTTGACTGTAGGTTAGATCTGACTCCAAATCAGAATGTCCAAGATGTCCTAATTCATCCTTTGCATATAATATTTCCCCTCTGAAGGAATTTAAAAGTATGAACTACTTTTTGAAGAAAACTCAGTGAGGAATGTAAGAAAGAATACAAATATAGAACATATTGCAATCATGTCAGAAATCATTAAAAGACAGAGGTAGGTGTCAACAACACATGCAAAAGTGACAAACAATGTGATCACAGCTTTATAAACCACAAAGAAAGAGCCATGTTTTTGAAGTATTTCATCATTTGGTGCAGTGTGGCAGCATAGTGAGCATAAGGGTGGAAACATTTTAGAGTTAAAAAACAAGTTCCCTTTTTGGGGAATCTGTGTGACTTGCATTAGTCTCATCTACCAGCAAAATTAATTCAGGCTTTAATGGCCTGACCAACTTTTAACAGTAACAGAGCACAAGCATGCACATGCTGCACACATTAATGAAGAGAGCATGCGCTTTGTTCTGCTCCCAGGCTCAGTGACAGCAGAGGTGATGATATCCATTTTGAGGGACAAGCCCAGTGGCATCTGCATGAACTCTGGAGGTTTCTGCACCACAGGCAGCATGGTGTCTATCCTGCCTAGAGACTGCAGCCTGCCATGCGTCCACTTCTTCACTGCCACCCCAGACCCCTCCAGGTTAGTCTTTAACCAAACTAATAAATCATCTTGATTAAAAGCATCAATTATGACTAGTATCCTGCTTCACTCTGTAGCAAACTGCTGTAAACCCAATACTGTAATAATCACTTCAAATGGAAAGTATTCTTACTGCAAGGGCACCTTACTGACTCTTAATGTATTTAATTTGTGTGTTTTTAAGGATGTTAATGCTCTACTCATTGTCTCCATGCATTCTATAATGATTACCAATAATGTAATTAGTTCTTTCTGTCCTGAGGAGAAGTTGGTACTATTTCAATGCACAGGAGAAGTCGTCTATATGTTATAATTCAAATTAATTCCACATGCTAAGCTAGTACAATCTTGCATGATGAATATTAAGCAAAAGTGAAATGAGACTCCAGTAAAGCATACAATTCAACACAAGATTTATTATACATATTTGTACACTTTAGTGACTTTGTGGCGAGTCTTTAATGGAATGAACTCGAGGAAATAATAAACGTTTGAAAGTGAATCATTCCTCTCAAGACAGTTTTTTTTAAAGGTTTATTTTTGGGAAATATAAATCAAAACTCTATGGCACAATGAAAATAACTAAACTGTATCTTATTGTGAGTGAACCAAAAAAAATTACAGTAAAGTTATTTTCAGTGTGCCACAGAGTTTAGATTTATTTTTCATGGTGTGCTCTTTCAACCATGTGCATCTGTTGGCTGTTTATTTTGAGGTCAGTGGATAGAGACAGAAATCAGAGAGAGAGAGAGAGAGCGAGAGAGAGAGAGGAATGGCATGCAGAAAAGGAGCAACATGTTGGATTTGAACCCGGGCCGCCCGCTTAGAGGACGACAGTTTCTCTACATGTGGCACTGTGTGCACTGACCACTAGTGTACTGCTGTACAAAAAACAACTTTTAATATATATTTTGTGTGAGAAAGATTGAATACGTACACAGTTATTTCCAGAAAACTTCAAAAAACATTATAAGGAAATAAAAGCTTCATAATAAAAGAATCACCTATTAAATGTTTAAATGTTTTAACCCACTTTCCCCACTAACGTCCTATTGTTCGTCTCTGCATCCTTATTTTTAATTTGAATTCAGTAGTATTCTGTTCAAATCAACAGGAACATCTGACTTTAGTGCAGAAATGTTTCTGGGTGTGTGAGATCTTCTGTTGAGAGCTTAAAAGCAAAAACAACATTAGCTACAAAGGAGTTTTTCACACTTAATATTCTCTTCCTCCTAATCTTTACTTTTCCTGTCTTCACTTTGGGTCAGAGGGAGTTTCTGAGTCTGGGTTTCACTCTTTCCTTTTTCCTTTTCCTCTCCCTGTCCATCCACCCCTCCCGCACCCTGGTAGGTCTGTATTCAAGCCTTTTGTCTTTTCGGACGGTGCCACCCCAGTGCCGAGGGTGGTCTCCCCACAGTTTGGGCCAGACGACCCCGTCAGGAAGCAGCCTCGTTTTCAGAGCCGGGTGGACCGCAGACATGACCTTTACAAGGCCCACCAGGTGGCGCTCAGCTCCATGGAGACCAACTCGGTGGGCACAGATGGATGACCTAGGTCAATGATAGTCGTGCGCTGAGCCTGGCGCAGCTGAAAGTTCTCATTCATTTCATTTATACATCCACATTTAAACCCTATTCACAGATAGCTGAACTCAGTCGTGTGTTATTAAAAAAGCTCAGAAGAACAGAAGTGACACTCACAGTGTCTAGCTAGACTCGTGGGGTGAGTGTAGACTAAACAAAAACACACCACAAGTACACATTGAACTCCAAAGAGCAGGGTTTAAATCTCGTCGCAACCAAAGAACAAGGTGATGATGCTGAGAGGTATTGTTACTTCCAAACAACAACAACATCGTAGCACTTTGTCTGGCAATCCAGACAGAGAGAGAACGGGTTGTTTTGTGGAATCAGTATCAGATATTATTAACATTTGAACTTTCCTTTAGCCTTTCATAAAGAAATGTGCATATCATAAGGTAAATTGTGACTTAAAGGAAGCCAATTGAGCTTTTTTAAAAATGCAGAGAGGAGAGATTTGAGCAAATTCTGAATTTTGTACGACACTTCTGAAAAGTATAATGTCAGCATGCATGTCTTTTCGAGAGTGGTATAATTGTTAACTATTCTCCCACAATGCACCGTGTAATGATAGGTCTGCAGTGTAACAGCAGCCAGTGATGCATCCAGTATAAATTGCATTAGGGTTAAAAAAAAAAGATATAGCACAGTGTAAAAATAGCATAAGTTGTGAAGTGTAATTAAGTTAAGAAATTAGCTTAGGTATTAACTCACTTTATTTTTTTTCTCTACAGTAACAGGAGAACGCTATTCTTGTTCTGTGCTTATTCCCACTGATTTATTCTTCTAATCTAAACCATAATCAATTCACAATCTAACCAAGTGTCTAACCGTAACAAAATATGTCAGGGTTAGGTTTATGAAAAGATTGTGGTTTGTATTAGGATTATGAAAAAGAAGGTAGTTAAACTCACATCACAGAGGTGCAGGGCGGTGCAAAATCAGCAGACTGAGGAAGATGATGTGTCCGCACATTTGCTCTAATGCCACAAAAAGTTTGAAATTCATCACAGTGTTTCGACCTGAGGTCTTCTCGGGATGATTTTTGAACAAACTGAAGAAAACATTGTGATCATATTAGGATTATAACTCTGACAGTTTGTTTTTAACAAAGATCAAGAACAGTGATCTCCTGGGTAAAAGTCTTGCAGTTGACCTACTGTATCGGCATCATAGACAATAATAGCACAGTATGGTGGGAGAAGGTGATACTGTTGTGATGGTGTTTTATTTCACTCACAACTTCTACTCTTTACTACTAAGCAGAAGAACTTAATGTTATGTTTACTGAATGATAGTGTAACGATAGTGGTGAAACAACATTAGATTAATATTGGATACGTAGAGAGATACTTTGGCATACATTGTTGTTGACTTTGGTTTTAAAAAAGCATTCCCAGTTACCATGCAAGCTTTTTTCTATGACTTTTAGCTTTATTTTATAGTTTCATTCATGGCATCCGTTGAACTTTTCTCAGTTGACTTTAAATGAACATAAAAGTTATGAACTGTAATATAAAAAGAGTCTGAGGAAACAACCCAATATCAAAATCTCCAATCACATATGTTTAAGCTTTTTGTTATGTCTGTCTTTTTCTTACTGTTGTGAAAGTCAATTGGATGTAAAATCTTTGAAACTTAAAACAAAAAAGTAAAATTCTGAAGAAAAAAAAAGGAAATTGCATGTTTTTTAGAAAACAAAATACTCTGGGAATTAGCTTATTGAATAAATAATATATTTATGAAATTTTAACAATAGCCTGTAGAAGAAATGGAGGTTTGTGATAGCAGGTGTGCACATTTTCCATAAACACCTGGTGGAATCAGACGCACCACAGTGTAGGACTTGTAATGCCTTCATGGCTTAAGCAGGTTTAAACATATACAATAGTCATGTACTTTTCTTCACTGGTGTGACTGTTAGTTTGACATGTGTCTGTCTGTCTCTCTCTATCTCAGGACGAGGGTTTAGCCATCTATGAGATCCTGATGGACCTGGAGTCGCAGTGTCTGAGTGAGATTTCAGCCATGCTTAACGGAGAGATACCAGGAGAGGAACTGGGGGGCTTATTTTTTGATTGCGTGGACACAGAGATTAAGTTCTACCAGTGAGCAGGTGGGTGGCTTCAACAGCTGTGTTGACTTGATTTATTATGTATGAATGTGTTCCTGTTGAAGGAAAGCTTCAAACTGCAAAGAGGGAACTGAAAAACTCACACAGATAAATTATTTTTTATAGAGAGTGACTTTAATAATACAATGACTTGGGTAAAAATACTAGTAATGAAATATATAGTGCAGTAAGAAGTCGATGTGTAATGCAGAAAACAACGCTTCAGGTGATCTACAGACTGTTATGGTGTAGATCATACAGGACAGGTTGCTAACACTATAGCTGCGTCTCACTTCTCTTTAGTTGCATACATGCATCCCATACTTGCATCCTTTCCTTAAGAAAGGGAAAGAAAGCACAAAGGAAATATAATTTTAAAAACACAAGACGTTTGTACCTCTGTTTCTGATAACCGAGTCAGCTGTCACTCGGCTTTAACAGCTGTTTCTCTTCATGAATTCTAATGGATTGGTTTAATCTCTTTTTGCAACCTGATAACATTTGCACATAAAGAACGACATGCAGTCTTTTTATTCTCTGAACTGTGTCCTGCTTTAAACCAAAAGGACCATTTGTACCGGCAAAATACTTAAGTATTAAATGGCTCAGTCATTATTAGATTCTTATTTGCTGATCATCTTATTTTGAGCTCTGAATTTTATTAACACAAATACTTCTATGATGAATCAGGGAAACTGTAAATTATTGATCAGTTTATTAGTTTTTAGACAAAATAGTTTACTAAACCTGATGCTCAGTAATGTTCAGTCTTAAATCAAACTTTATTGATATGACAATAAATGTACAAAGTGTTTCTTACTGACAGACAGACTCCTACTCTCTCAGGCTTGCTTTCTCTTTCTCTAAACAAGCAGAATAACTGATCATGAAAAGAAAACATTTCTGTTGTAATAATGAAAAAAACATTTGAATTATAATACCAGAAGTTAACAGTTTTTAGTTTGATGAAGAATCAGAAAATGAATCAAATGTAAAACTTTGGATTGATACACTCCATTGTATTGATTTAAAAAAAGTTTTGTTCAATATTTCGTCGTTAATTCTCATGTCAGACACTTTAAACCAGCTCATCTTTACAAACTGACATATGTTTATAGTCTGTTTCTAGGTCTGTCTGGTCGTTAATTGTCTGTCTCATGGTCTGACTTATTCTTCGTTTTTAAACTCTTTATCATGTGAAGTTTCATTAAGTCCAATCCGCTGCAGCATCCAATCATTGACTGGTATCCGATAAAGGGGCGTGTCTGTCAGTTAAACTCTGCTCTTGTGTATCCTCGCTCATTGATCCTAAAATGTCCCTCCTCGATTCTCTCGCTTCAAAGCAGTAGCAAGAGCTTTGATCCTTGAATTCCTTGAGATGGCAGGTCTAAGGAGGAAAGAGGAGAAAGGAGCAAGGAGACATCATGTAAGAGAACTGAGATGCAGTTTGTGGAGCAGAAATAGTAGCTGAGCATCCCGGCTGAGCAGTGGGCCACACTCAAATTCATTGAGAACGTATTCTAATGTTTGATTTAGTTTAGTTGAGCAGTGTGTTCATGACAGCAGCCATCTGAGAAACCTTGCTGGGGGTGAATTGATGTACAATCAGGGCAACAACCTACAACATAGTACCCTGTTATTAGAAAAAGCAAAGTTCTATACATCAGTTAACATTTCTAAGTAGTTTAAATTTTTCATATTTGTTTACTTAATTAATTTAATTTGCTGGTATTATTTGATACAATCTAATAATCAACCTTTTTTTTTAATAACTTGTAGAGTTACTCTGTGCTGGTTGTTAGAAAGCACTCTGCACTTTAATACAGGCTTCATTTTTTTAATCGAAAGGGCTCTGTCTGTATTTTGTATACACAGTCTATGGGATCCTTGCATAGCTTTAAGTATAATATCTGAATCAGACCCAGGTTGATAATGATCTTAAAGATTAAGAGTTTTCATTTGTAAGGCGAGAGGAACAGACTTCAAAGTAGTCGTACATTCAGAGCATGAAAATAGCATGCCAGCCAGAGCTATCACAGAGATGTTTTATTAGTCAAATAAGGAATCAATCAATCAATCAATCAATCAATTTTTATTTGTATAGCGTCAACTCATAACAAGTGTTATCTCGAGACACTTTACAAAAAGCAGGTAAAAGACCTTACTCATTGTTATGTTACAAAAAGCAGGTAAAAGACCTTACTCATTGTTACAAAAGCAGGTAAAAGACCTTACTCATTGTTATGTTACAAAAAGCAGGTAAAAGACCTTACTTATTGTTATGTTACAAAGACCTGGCTTAATCCATCATGAGCACTTTAGCAAAGCAGCAAAAGTTACATGGTAAGAAAAAGCTGTCTTATTAAAAGGCAGAAATCTTCGGCTGGATCCCCTGCTCATGACGAAACAGCCTTCACAGGCCTAGACTGCACCGGGCTTGGAAGGGGATAGGGGGAGAGATGGGATAAAATGCAGGAAGAGGGATAGGGAGAAGGGGGGGGGGGGGGGGACCACCAACTTTAAACATTCAGGATGTTGTTTTTGGCATCAGCCAGGAAGCCTTAAAACAAACATCAGATAGTGTGAGTGGTGAGATAAAGAACTGGAAGCTGTTGTTCTAACAACATGTTTATATTTTCTGTTGTTTTGTTTAATTCTTAGCAAACATATATAATCCCTCTGTGTGGAAGTGTAAATGTGGATGTGTTCCCAGCATAGATTAACAAAATGGTAATACAACTGTCCTTTGTTACAGCACCCTCAGGTGGAGATCCCTAGTGCTGGCTCGGTTGCAGGACAGGGCTCCTGGGACTGATATGAACTGTGTTCCACGTCTGATGGGTCTCCGCCACGCTCACATAACATACATCCCTGACACCATTCCATGATTAACACAGACTCTGTGTCTATAATACACATGTGATAGGAGCAAATGTATCATCTGTATCACCCAGGGAGCAATGACTGCACCTCAGTAGTGAGAATAATGATGTAGAGAAACAGGAGCCTATGTAGAGGAGGTTGCACAAATACTGTGAGTACAGCTAATGTTTTGTGTTTGTTGGAAATTAATGGGTTGCCATTTGATGAAGTCGGGGGAAGATCTAATAAACAATAAGCATAGTCTTTCTTGAGTGTGTTGTAAGCTTTATGTGACACTTTAGTATTGCTTCTGTGGGCTATGTTTGAGGATTTACACATTAATCTTTCCAAACTCATAAATAAATATTTTGCAAACTCCTTTCAGGTTAAATGGATTTCTTCTATGCCCAAAAATAAAGATTTATTAAATGCCTCCAGAATGTGTGAATCTTAAAAATGTCAGCCAGGTGTTTGGGGCGTGGACTGCATGAACTTAGTGCTCGAGTTCAGAAGTCACACATAAGTATTGTATAAGGAAACACGCAGCACTGCTTCTGTTGACATAAATCCAACCATTCCCCGGCAACATCAGGTCACATATCTCCTGGGAATTTTGATTGTGTTGCTAATTTCTCTTCACAGTCTGTTTAAGATGCATGCTGTATAGTCTAATTATTCAACTATCTAAAGTCAAGTTGTTCCTCCAGCTTGGTGATAGTTAACCTTTGTGTTTGCTCTTTGACACTCCCACATGATTCAGTGTTTGCTGTCCAATCACTGTTTGAGAATACCATTTGAAATCACCAGAAGTAATACCAAAATGACTGTCCCTTAAAACCAAGATTTTTAAAGTGACACCTGTAGGCACTATGATTTTATTTATTTAAAAAAATCATCACTGGTATATATAATATATATATATATATTATCCATATAGTTGTTATGCTCATCCTCCTCCGTTTGAATATGCATTTAGTATTTTGTCCTTGCCATTGCTGCCTCTGCTTCGTTAGAGCAAAGATTGTTGTGAAGAACACATTTCTGGCCTGATGAATTTCCGATTTGTAGCTTTTTTTGCAATGTATTGGTTAGCATTCACAAATCCCTTTCTCCAGTTTAACCAGTATCTCTTTTCTTGATACTGACGTTTTTGGTTTCTCTTTGGGAGATTACCAAACAGGCAAACTAAGTGTGATGCAGAGTTCAAGTTTTTGTGTTGCTACAATTTATTAATTCAAGGTCTTTAATTAGGGTAAACAGGTCACAAATCTCAAGGTGTGATGTGGATTGTTAAGAATATACTTTATTTGTCTCCCTGGATAACATAATATGATTATTATTTGAAGTGTGGCAGCAAGGAAAGAGCAGTTTATTCATTTTAATTTATTTTTTTTAACATCATTTGCATATTTTGGGAGACCAGCATGTTGATTCTAGAGTATGATTCAACATGAACTTGAAATCACCACCAGCCATACATAAATCCTTTGATGCGCCTAGTGTCACACTTTATATCCACATGAAATTTAGTTTTGGTCTGTCCTTTTATTGTGAAAACAACGCTGAAACAACTTGAGCCCTCAAAACGTATCAGTGGAATTTAAGAATTTACCTTGACCCTTGCTGTAGCCTTTTATATAGATAGATAGATAGATAGATACTTTATTGATTCCGAGGGAAATTCAAAGCATCCAGTAGCAGGTTACAAAGACGTACATGACATGAAACATTTGTTACAAGTTAAACCGCAAAACCGACACCTCCCCCTCCCATACATATATCTTAACCTCCCCAAAAGATGTAAAGAATACCCCTAGATGCAATTAAAAATAGACGTATACAAGAAATGTACATAACCCGTGCAGGGATAAAAAATATATGTGAAATTTAAAGCTAGAACCTATTTAAATGTAAGTTAAATGTATGTTAATTATTCAGTTAATCTTTGCTGCAATTTAGCCCAATAGGTAGCGCTTAAACATCTATAGGCGGTGTAACAACGGTAACAACCATAGACTGTAAATATTATATATATACATACATACACATACATACATATACACATATATATATATATATATATATATATATATATATATATATATATATATATATATTATTATTATTATAACAACTAATAAAACCCAAAGAAGCCAGTTCACACTCCATCCAGTAGGTGGCGGTAATAAAAAATGTAATTGCTGCCAGGAGGGTCAGTAACCAGTCGCGGGTACAACCACCTCATAGAAATATTTACACTGTATCGTTAGCAGAGTATTCTGCAAGTTGTTGTTGTACGGGTTATTACAAATTCACAATCATAGTTTTATCATTTGCACCTTGTTCCTTCCGTCCAAACAGAAGGTTTGTACCGTTATGTTCTGCTCAGTGCTCTGTGGGGTTGTTGGCTAACAGGTTAGCATTAAGCTGTCCTGTGCAGACAGGGCGTTGTTATGGCTAAATGTTAAGAACTGTAGGTTTAATTATTGATTTGGTTTATCATTATTAGTTTAAGAAACTCCCAAACAGCACTTACGTTGATAATTGTCAAGCTTCGTGGGTTTACTTTTCGTATACTAGCTGAAGCTAAGCTTAAAAGCTATCATGCTACGTTGCAGGGTAGATCTGGATAAGCAATGCAACATTGAATTAGTCTGTAAAAGGATCCTGAAGCTGTCAGAGCTCACTGCTAACTATATGGTATGAACAAATATGTACAGTGCTTCCTACAGCAAGAAACTTTTCTGAATAATTAATCTCTGTTTGAAAACAAATGGTGTTTCCACTTAATGATCACCTCAATTACTTAAATAGCACCTTTAATTTAATGTTTATATTTAATGTCTGTTTTTGATAACTCTGCACTATCTGCTTTTTTTAAACATTGCTGTACATATATAAACAACACAACTTCAGAAGGTCAGCACTTTTTTTTATATTCAGGTCTAATTACAGAGCTTTTTCCTCAACTGTTTATAGTTTCTTGTTTAAATTTCACATATATTTTTATCCCTGCACGGGTTATGTACATTTCTTGTATAAGTCTATTTTTAATTGCATCTAGGGGTATTCTTTACATCTTTTGGGGAGGTTAAGATATATGTATGGGAGGGGGAGGTGTCGGTTTTGTGGTTTAACTTGTAACAAATGTTTCATGTCATGTACATCTTTGTAACCTGCTACTGGATGCTTTGAATTTCCCTCGGGATCAATAAAGTATCTATCTATCTATCTATCTATCTATCTATCTATCTATCTTTCTATCTTCTGTTATTTGGATTTAACTGTTCACTTTTAGTCCACGACAGCAGAATGTCATGTTTTTAGCTACATTACTTTACTTTCTCTTCAAACTTCATTTATTTCATAAATGTGATTTGTTCAAGTGCATCCTGTCCTTGGGCTTAGTTTGCTCAACCAATCCTTGCACACGATTAAGCTCTTCTTATTAATACCTAGTATCTCTCCTTTTTCTACAGTTTTTGACGTCCACATCCATCCACCTGCTGGATCTGCTGAGATGAGATAATGTACTCCAGCAGGTCTGAGCACAGTCAGAGGGGGCAGTACAATGAGAGAAGTTCAAGGCAGGGGGATGGCTATGATGACAGATGGAAAGAAAGATGTGAATCTCATGGAGATCAACTGCAGGATTCTTATCATAAACATGGCGGGGACAGACACAGAAGTGCAGAGAGGACGAGCAGAAGTAGAGAGTATGGGGACTCACCTAAGAGGATGCACAGTAGAGATTCACTGAACAGAGACTGGAGTAGAAAGAGCCCTGTAAGAAGACACATGTCTTCATCTGACTGGGGATCCTCTGAAAAGAAAAGGCGGAGGTGTACAGAGGATGATGAGGATGATTACAAATACCGACGTGAGACTGAGGATAGATCAAATAGATTTTCTCCAGACAATTTCTCACGCTCACGTACAACCAAGGATTTTAAACACTCACGACCACAGGATGAAGATTTCAAATACAGTAAAACAGCACAAGACTCAAGACACAAATATCGACATGAGGAATTCAACTACAGGCAACAACAAGATGATTTAGCTTGCAGAGCATCATCTGGATATGAAAAAGATAGAGATAGCCGCGAAAGAAGCTGGGACCGTTCCCGAGAAAGGAAACAATCACAAGATTACACTACCAAGGTGGGTCACAACTTACACTGTTTTGATTCCGTGTAAGGATCGTTACGATGATTTTATTTGTAAAATTTTACGTTTTCCTCCAAATCAAACAGAAATATGCCAAACCCAGAGATAGGAATGACAGCCCTTCCACAGGCTATGAGGATCATCGTCATAATAGAGCAAGGACTTCTTTGAATGGATCTGGTGGACAGGTGAGTTTATTATGTTGCAACAATGTGCTATCTTTATCAGGAATGAGAGGTGATGGAAATCTGCTTTGGGTATACAAATAAAGTTGTTTGCATTATTTTAATTATTATTCCAGTTGAATTCTTTGTACCTACATTGGGTTGGGAGGTTTGGGAACTGCCTGCAGCTGCAACAACAAATTTGTTTATTAATATTATTGTCCCAATAAAATACTATACAGGGACGTGATTCTTCTGGATCAATCCGGAATTTCTTTTTTATTTTTATTTTATTTTTTTACCTGAAATGATAACCCAGTAGACTTACATCATACATGAAAGTGTTTCAGCAGGCTGCACATATATTACAGCCACATAAGTATATTTTCTGACAGTTTATGAATTTAATATAAAATTACCATCTAAAAAAGATAAGCAAGCGGACAATCTCCCCTCACTCTCTGTTGCCTGTTTAAGTGTTGTGACTGTAGCCTCTGTGCTCTTTAGGTGATCAGAGATATGGAGAGAAGTCTGCTGTCATGTTTCTCCTTAGAGGAAGAAGATTGATTAGAAAAATGTATTGATTTATTCCCTCACATATCTATATTCTGACCTTACTGCCACATCAGACCTGTTCTGCTTTTCCTCACTCGATGGACACTCTGTACGGCACACATACATATAAAAGGCTTTGAAAACGTTGAAGGTAGCTATCAAAAGAAATCTGTCAGTAAAGTTATAGTTTCTTAATGGGCAGACAAGCTGTCTGAAGTATGTAACTGGAAATATGACATCTTTGTTTTTCTGTTTAATAGTGGTAGTTATTGAGCTGTCTGTTCATGACATCCCTAAAGAGATGTGTGACTGTGAGCATTCCCTTAGCACTTAATTACAAAATTCCACAATCACAATCTAAAATATTTGCTAATCTTTCTTCAGTTCAAGTATCAATAATAAATACTGGAACTCCAGCTGACCAGTCACAGTTAATTGAGTTTTACTATTGACTTATCATGGAGCTTAAATCTATACCACCTGAATGTTTCTTACAGAAGCTTAATTAGCTCGATGGCTTACAGTTAGGGTCCCGACGTCATATGCCACAAAAAGAGATGTATTTTATACAGATTAAATCGGAGAATCACTACAAATGTTGCACATTTTGTTCCATGTCCTACGTTTTTATTCACCAAAAACTGCCAGTTAATTTTGTGTTAATTTTGCTTCTGTGTGTTTCCCATCAGTCTTTCAATAGCAATGTCTTCAACCAAAGTTCTGCTGCTCCTGAGCAGAAGAAGGCCAAGGGTTTCCAACGCTTCCTAGATGTGCTCAACAAGGGTGTGAATGTTGACATGCTCACCAAGATAGTGACTCAAAACTGTGACGGAGAGGATGATCGAGCACAGTCTCCACCTTCATTCGTGCAGTCTGCAGACCGACCATTGTCCCCTAGTTGTGTTAGAGGGCAACAGGGACGTGACAAAAAAAACTGCCATTGGAGTGAAAGTGTGGGACCTCAGAGAGGCGCTTCTCCTCATCACAGGTCTTTCAGCCCAAAGAGGAACTTCCTGCCTGATGAAAGACCTCTGCAAAGGGGGGAAGGAGAACGCAACTGCCTGAGCTCCAGCAGTAGATCCAGGTCTCCGTCAGTGGTGGAAAAGACAACGCTGACACCTGAAGAGGAGCACAAGCGCCGTCAAATGCAAGACGTTTTGCAGGCTATTGGCATGAATTTAGGATTTGAAGAACTAGGTCAAATGTCACATCGGATCCAGGAGCGTTTGTATGGAAAGAGGGACAGTGACAGGGAAGGCCATCGCAGAAAAAGCAGAGAAAGGGACACAAGACGTACGTATTCACCAAGACTGCATAGCAGGTCGTCATCAAGCAGATCAAGTGTTAGTCCGCCACCTCAGGAAAGTGACATGAAAAGGGATGCAGCTAGTACTCCGAGGGATCTAACAGACATGCAACAAATACAGATACTTCAGTCGGCTGAATATGAGACAAACTCCAGCTCTAACACATTTCATGACAGGGAGGATTGTGAAACACACTCTCAGGAAATGAGTGCTGTGTCTCAAGCATTTTCTCAAAATCACACATACAATTTGTCAGAGCCGTCTCCTCCACCTGTGCTGCCAGTGTACTCTCCAGTAAACAGTTCACCCCTGCCCTTCCCAGCCCTGCCCCCCACTCTGCCTCCAGCTCCTCCCCCGCCTCTACCTCCTCCTTTTCCACCCGTTCCGCCCCCAGCCCTCCCACCTGCTCTGCCTCCTTATATGCCCCATGTTGGACCCACGTTTTTATTTCCTCGCCAGTTTCCCCTTCCTCCTGGGCCCCGTGTCCCAAATTTGAACCTATTTCCGGCTCTACTTCCTCCAATGAGACCCCTATACCCACCACACATTAGTAATCCTCCACCATTTTTTAACCTTCCACATGTGAGCCCAATTCCGCCTATAAACAACACACAGAATAAAAAACCACAGAGGCCTCGCTGTTTGCAGGTCATTGAAACAAAACAGGCTTGATGAAGACAGTTGAATAGGTTTAAAATCTGAATTTAAAACTGACTGATTAAGTTGATAAAAATGTCTGTCCCCTGCAGAACAAGACACGCTATTAGGTTTTCATGAAGTGAACAGTTTTGGCTTCAGCCGGTCCAGTTATGATCCCAAAACACAACTTGGAACATTATTTCAAATAAATTTGTGTTACCCTAAATGAAGCATTTAGTCCAAATATACCTGAGTCAACTTGCATTTTGTCAATCAAATATCTGACCCTTTGTCATTGTTTAGTTGTGTCATTGTAACAGAGCAATGCAGGACTTAGATGATGGCAGGATGAAAACAACAATAGTCCAAAATGATCCTTTGATGGTCATCATAAGTTTTTTCTTTCTTCTAAATTATCTGTAGAAGTCTCCTCTTCCCCAAGAGAGGAAATTCTGCTTAAAATGTTTCCACATAAATATTCAGTGTCTGTCTAAAGCTCTCCATGCTGCAGACACAGATCATCAGGAGGGGCTGCAAACTGAGCTGCTGCTAGCTTGTTTGTGTGTGCTCTGCTTCTAGGGTTAGGACCCCATTGTTGTTCAGGGTGTAAGCGGTTTTAACCATGAGCTGAATGGTTTGCACAGGTCTCTTCCTCTTCAAAAGAAATGGGCTGAGTGATTTAAAACCATTACAAAAATGGATATCGATATTTCATGTAACGCAAAATGGGAGCTGATCATTAGTCATAAAATAAATACAATGAGGATCTCAACTTACACCACAAAGAAAGTATATCCGTTCGGAAATGTTTTGAAGGTATTTGACAGCTCATAAGAAAACCCTGATTAATGATTGTCTTATGCTTAAAACGTGTGTCACATAGGCTGTTTTGAAGTCTGTAGTGGCACTGAACTGCTATTTAGCAAAGATCTAAAACATTCAGAAGCAACCTGTCGTGCAGTATTAAAAACTAGGCCAAATACAACAAAAACAGAAAATCCAATCAATTACTTTTGTTCCCCAAAATGTAAAGGACCTCAAGCTAATTGAGAACACTATTCAGGATGTTTGAGCTCCTATATGTATAACTCATTGTCATGTTAAAGAATTACTGAAAAACGTTCAGATAGTGTCTTCTGATTTTTCAAAACTTTGCTTTCTTTATTTTGTTTTTCAAAATAACCACGACTTGGTACATTAGAGATGCTGTTTGAGTAATCTTTGTCTAGAGAGGAGGTCTTGAAGGGAACAGAGGACTTAAACCTAATAAATCAGCGTAGTCTGGTGTTCAGTCTCTGGCTTTGTTCAACCTATGATTACTAAACCTGCTCTTTACTGAAGCTATTGGTTTATAGGTTGACTTGCATTGTTTTTGTGTACAAATGTATAAATGTATTGTGTAAATAATTTGAATTGCATATTATTAAAACACATTTAATTGAGGTTAATGTGGAAGAGCTGTTTAATTGAACTAATCCTTTGCATCTTGCATCAATGGAAAAATATCACCTGAAGGCACTGAAGTGCTTCAGTAGTACAGGGCCCCTGCTACCTTACGAATTGTTTCTGCATATAGGGATTACTCTGTAGCTCCTACATACATTCTGACCAGTGTTGGGAAAGGTTGACAATGACACATATGGACTCGTGTATCTGACATTACTGATAAATGTACTGATTATTTTGGTCATTTTTTGAATCATTTTTTTTAGAGAAGCTAAAATAATAGATGAAAGCGGGAAAGGAGCCACCGATAGGATTCAAACACAGGCTGCCCGCCATATTGGTCGCACACGCTGACCACTAGGCCAACAGTTGCCCACAAGTTGGATGATAACTTGTGCACACAAGATATTAACCTGTGTGAACAATAAAATGATCTTGTTAATATCACATTTCATCTTTTGTTCTAAATGATGGTATAGTGGAGAAAGCAGACCCCAAATAAATGAGTAGAACATATCCTTTATTAATAGAAATTATCCAGTGATCTGCCTTTCTTTTTGCGGAACCGCTTGTTGATGCCAGAGGTCAGAGGAAAATGGTCACACTGGTTTTTGCTGAAAGAAGGTCAACAATTAAACAACCACTTGTTGCAACCGTGGTATGCAGACGAGTATCTCTGAACGCACAACACGTCCAGTTTTGCTGCTGACCTTGTCCATCCACTTACGACCACAGTGTACCCATATTCTGATGGCTACTTCCAGCAGGATAAACATGCCATGTCGCAAAGCTCATGTCATGTCAAACTGGGTTTTTTAACATGACAATGAGTTGACTGTACTCAAATGGCCTGCACAGTCACCAGATCTCAATCCAGTAGAGCACCTTTGGGATGAGGTGGAACGGGAGATTCATCTCATGGATATGCAGCCGACAACTCTGCAGCAACTGTGTGAAGCCATCATGTTAATATGGACCAAAATCTCTAAAGAATGTTTCCAGCGCCATCTATGCCATGTTCTGAAGGCAAAAGGGGGTCCAACCCGGTTCTGGTAAGGTGTACCATAAAGTGGCAAATGAGTGTATAAGTCTATAATATGGAGTAACACAATAGATATATATATACATTGTATAACTGGCTGAAATTGTGTTTTCTTTCACAATCCAGTGTGGTTTGGCTTTTTGTCTGCCACCTGCAAATCTATGCAGATCACATCCAATTGTAAACACTGTCTTTGGTGGCTTATAATAAAAATACAGAATGTGTCATGTAACCTGATTATTCATAAACTACAAATTGTGTAAAAAAAACAAAATAACAACAACAAGCATTATCTTAGTTATTATAAGAAAAAACGGCTTCTATTTTTTCTTGGCAAACCCAACATGTCCCCTCTGTTTTGTCAGGTGACTATTGTTTTATTCAGAATGCTCCCTGCAGTGTCGGTACTCCGTCCAGCAGGTGGCGCTATCAAAAAGGTTTCCACACCACCGAAGCTGTGAGAGCAGTCTAGCGTTTCAATCCTTTTTCCTCGGTTTTTGGATATTTATGGGTGTGAACATTTGTTTGGAAAACTTGAGAACCTGCTAAGCAAAGCTCGGCTTGACATTTCACTATAAAATCATTTAAAATAACGGCTTTACAATGACACTTCCGTTACGCGACCGAAGAAAGGGTCGTCTGAGCAGCACTAGTAAGTAAACAGTGTGTGAACTGCAAGACTATCCTAGTACTGAATAATGTTTTTTAATGTTTTTTGCTTTTTTTTTTAGTTCTTAATGTGCCGCAACAATATACTACACATTTACTAATCATGGAGGTACATTTATCAAGCAAAGCTTTTAGTTGAGTGTCTGCTAACTTCGTCCATGCTTTTCGTGGGCTACTGGAAGATATGGACCAAAACCACCAAAACTCATATCTTGATATTGTTTACCTGAATGACGATACTCGATATATATCGATATGTATTTTATTGACAGTGAAAACACAGGGCTGCTATGTTTTTGTTTTTATTACTATTTTTATTTTTATTTTTTTCCTTTACTTTTATTTCTCTTTTTTTGTTTTTGTATTGTGTGTACTGTTTTGCTATACACTGTTTATGCTTTACTATAAATGACAATAAAGAGATGGTTTAAAAAAAAACCAGTGAAAACACATGGAAAATAAACTACCTGTTTGTGAATTTAAAAAGTAATATTATAAAATAAAAATGTTCTTTAAATACAATAAAAGAGAGAAAGAGGAGGAGCAGGGTTAAGAGGGACAGACAGTCAGTCATCAGTGAGATGAGAAAAAGGAGACCGTTTTTTTAATGCAACATAAACTATATCCATATTAACGATATTGTCTTACCCTATATCTTGTTTGAAAATATATCAATATATCTTACGATATATTTCCAGCCCTACTGGAAGATACGAGTTATTATCTAAAAAGTAGCTGTCATTTTCTATTAAGCAGGGAGGCATTTACTGTGTTGTAAGTCAAGTAGCAGTCTGCATGCAGTCATGTGCTGTATTCACCCACAGTCATTTTACCTGTATTTTTCAGAGTGACTTCATAGACTGTTAAAAGACTGGCTGAAGGATGGATTCACTTCTCTGGGATGCTGTTCAAAGTCTGCGTAGAGGGCGGGACCCTAAACACCAGAGTGATGCAAATAACAGCATGGACAATGCCTCAGAAAGTAATAATAATACCCAGGAAACTTACTGTGAATACTCAAGATGCACCAATGATAGACCACAAAGCATTGTTGGAGTGAATGTGGGATGGGAGGAACCCACTCCTGCATCATGTGACTTTTACAACAAGGAGTCAGAAGCCGAGGACCCAGATGGAGCGCCACTTTTGGAGGAAGATGAGGATCCAGAGATTGCAAGAAAGCGGAACGAGCTCAGAGAAATAGAGGAGCGGATTCAACAAAAGAGGGTTTCGATTGCTCTGAAAAAAGTTGTGCATGTAGTGAACAAGGCAAGTCACGGCTTTTCTTGTAATGGTGAATCAGATGGATGTGAGGGTCCAACTCTTAAAGGCAGGGTGAATGCAATTTTGCAGCAACGACATTCTCACAGCTTTCTGTCAATGGTGAGTAAATGATTCATCTGATAGTATCATCATCACGTCTGTGCTTTCCGTTTAATACATTCACTTGTGTAATGCCTTCTCTTTTGCTTCTCAGGTCCACGCGCCTAAAGAGGGACCGAACTCATCCAGCCTGCAGAGGGACCGACATCCCTTGAAGCTCAGAGTGAAGGCAATAATGAAGCAGAAACATACTGATCCCGTTGTTCTGCCAACATACAGAGAGGTTTGGAATGTGATTTTTACCCCTGAAAAGATTGTGTTTCGTCTTAAAGAGGACTACAAGTGAAATTTAATTCATTAATATTATTTAACTATGCATCCCGTACAGTTGCTCAAGAGCTGATATGTTTCCAAGCATTAACCCGTTTAGAGAGAAGGTGCACACTGAACTGGTCGCAATAGGGTTATGATAAATCTTAACATTCACGATTGAGTGCCATTCAATCGGATACCATTGCATTTTAATGCATCAAATGTAAAATTATTATGTCGGGTCAATTAACAGAAGTAGGTAGAGATTGTAATACGCATTCAAGCGGCAACCTCCAGTGATGAAGAATGAAGCCAAAGAGAAAGTGCTCAAACCTGCAGTTCATCAAGTGCTTGCCTGAGTGTGGCTGCAGAAGCACCAAAAGTCACATACATAACCATTCAAGAATGCCCGTTTTTAAAGCAGAAATCAACATGTTTACAGCCTGTTCTTTATAGCTCATCTCTTTATTGACACACAATGTATTGAGGGTGAATTTTATTATAACTCAGAATCAGAAAGATGATAACTCATCCATTTTGATTTAATGCACGTAAGAATTATTGCTTATAAGGTTCGTAGCTGACTGATGGGCATCTGTGGCTGTTAGTCAGCAGGCTTAAGACCCGCCTCAGCTCCAGCTCTTTCTCTGTTGTTAGGTTGACTGAAGTTAGGTAAAGACAGAATTTCCAGCATGGCAACCGCTATCAACAGGCTGCCAAGGCCCCCTTCAGTAACCAAAGGCTGATGTAAGTCAGGCGTTGTCTACTATTATTATTTACAGTCTATGTATGTATCATTCTGTTAACCGGGTAAGAGCTATGGTATGGATTTTTTTTAATGTAAACCCCTGAAAAATGACAAACATAGTTCTTTGACATAGTTTTCCCGGATTTAGTGGGCAATCCCAAAAGATGACAAAGTGTATGACTTTCTCTACCATAATGCACCTGTAGGTTCAAAAACATACAAAGAAACGACACAAGGCGTGTTCAAATATGTCATTCTTAATTTCAACACGTTATTTCCATAGTTATTTCCATTCTCTCACGGCTGTTGGCACATCCATCTTTCAACACAGTATCTTTAATTACGATATTTAACTGTAATTCCCATTTCTTTTTGGGGAGATGTAGGCTTTTATGTTAGAACGCATTTTTCTTCATAACTACATTTTTATTTTTTAACATGACTTTATAAATGTATCAAACATCTAACGTTGAGATACTATGAGTAATTATTCTAAAACTGGCGATATCAAAATTGGTGTAACTTATTTTTTTGCTAGAAAGGTAAATCTGCTGGCAGATATAATGAAGCTGCAGTTGTACTGATATTAGCGTTCACATCAGCCAGTAAGTAACAGAACATTTGAGCTACTTTATGACGTGCATGACAGTCCACCTGATGGTTGTTGATCTCCTCTCTGAATAAAGTTAATATTGTAGTCAAGATTTATTCACAGACAGTGGCCTCTTGATACTTTTTAACCTTTTGGTATTCCCATAAATAAAAGTACTAAGTGTATGAAAACATATCCAGTGAGATTGTGAAAAGTTTGATTTTTATGTTGGACATTGCACAATGTATGTTATCTTTCCTAGGTGGCTGATATCCCAGTGCCTCCTCCAGGCCAAAGGAAGTATGCAGCAGAGAAGGAGGTGACCAGCGTGGATCTTGATCTCCAGCGCTTCCCCGCTGTACTCCATAAAAGAGAAAAGCTTCTTCCAGGCCTTAAGGAATCTTCAACCGAAAAGGAGGTGACCAGCGTGGACCTGGGATTCCAACGCTTCCTCAGTGTGCTCAACAAGGGAGAAATGCTTCCTCCAGACCACGCAGAGTCTTCAAAAGAGAAGGAGGCAATCAACAATCACCTGGGATTCCAGAACATCCTCAATCTGTTTGACAAGAGAAAAATACCTCCTCGAGTACAAAGAGCAGAAAAGGTCCAGCAGTTCCCCAGTGTACTCAATAAAAGAGAAATGCCTCCCAAAGGCCTCGAGGAAACTTTAGGAAAAAAGGAGGCAAACAGTGTGAACCTCAGTGTCCAGCAGTTCCCCAGTGTACTCAATAAAAGAGAAATGCCTCCCAAAGGCCTCGAGGAAACTTCAGGAAAAAATGAGGCAAACAGTGTGGACCTGGGATTCCAGCGCTTCCTCAGTGTGCTCAACAAAGGAGTTGACATGGACGTGCTCAGTAGGATTGTCAATGCTGATAGCGAGGTTCTTCCGTTAGGTGAGGAGGTACTAAACATTCAGCCCCCTCCTTTAGAGAACAGGTTAAATCTGCCTTTTAAAAATGACAGTCAGCGATCCACCAGTGGAGCCTCACTGGAGAACCACAGTCCCAGCAGCAGTAGAGAGAGAAAGACCGACTCACAAGGTCATGAGAGATCCAGCAGTGAGTCGACCTTCCTATCTGATGATAAGAAGAAGAACGACAGAGGAGAGTGTTGCTTTGCCTCGAGTAGTTGTTCCAAACGATCCAACAGTGGAGCCTCGCTGGAGAACCACAGTCCCATCAGCAGTGGAGAGACAAAGACCAAGCCAATAGGTCGAGAGAGCTCAATCATTCAGGGGCTCTCCCAGACTGATCACAGAAAAGACAGAGGAAACCACTGCTTTGCCTCGAGTAGTCGATCCAAGTCTCCCCCTGTAGTGAAGAAGAAGAAAAAGGAAGAAACACCAAAGTTGAAGGAGCATCAAGAGCATCTCCAGAACATTCTTAAAACTTTGGGGTTTAGTCTGGAAATGGAGGAGATGAGCAAACTAGCAGACCGGACTCAGGAGAGGCTGTATGGAAAGAAGAGGGTTGAGAGCAGAGGGGAGCAGCAGAGTCAGCAGATAGTCTCTCACAAACATCACAGGAACTTCTCCCCTTCTTCCTCCTCCTCCTCCTCCTCCTCCTCCTCGTCTTACTCAAGGTCAACATCTAGAAGCTCAAATCCCAGCCCTGCACGCCGCCCGTCCTACGACAGAGACTCAAAACAAAAGAGAAGGTCTGAACGCAGCCGCTCAAGAGACAGAAGCAGAGATAGACTGATGAACCAAGACGGCCGTCAGGACAGTAAAAAGGGGAAGAGGCAGTGGGATAGAGACAAAGATAGAAAACTGTGTGAAGAAACCTCCGTATATGATAATCCACATACACATCAACCAATCCCTGTTTGTCAAAATTCCTACCCTCCTGGTTTTCCTGAATTCCAGAATAACAATTTTCCTCAGTACTCCGACTGTGATGCCTATCCCAGCAACACTTCCCTTACTGCCACTGAGTCTTGCTGGGTGGATCCTCAGGATGCCTACCCTGCACCCTTTTATACTACCAGGTATCCTAATCCTCAACACTCCTTCCATCACTTCCCTGGCCCTGTAGCAGCACCTACAAAGGTCCGTCATTGCAGACTTGACATTAACTTACTTGTGAATCCAGATCTGTCGAGAAGTGAAGGACAAGTCGGGCCAGCTTCTGGCACTCGGTGCCTGCATGTTCTCACCACTCAGCAGCCAACTTCTTCAGGCTATTTAAAGGTACTGGCAGGAGGCCAAATGATGAATAGAAAACCTAAATTTAGGAATCAACGTCAAAGAAGAAAATACAGAAACAAACTAAAATTAGCACAGATGGCAAAGTTTGATGTGATGGAGATGACGGAGGAGACGAAGAAGAGGGAGGAGAGGGAGAAGAGGGAGGAGGCCCCACAGAAAAATGAAAAGGATTGTTTGTCAGAAGAGGAAAAACAGGTGCCCACAGAAGAGGAAGTGAAGAAGAACCTAAGGAAAATGGTTAGTGGAGTGATTCATAATTCATCTTAGAAGGCAGAGTTAAGACATCTTTTAGTCCTTTTCATCTAATAATATAATAATAATAATATCTACATTTGTTTACAAGTTATGCTGTAGTAAAGACCAAGTTGGATTTAATGTTCTGGAGATCTGAGCAAGCAGCAGTAAATGCATTTCATTAGTGACTCAGAGTCGTTAATACTGCCACATGATCACAAACTTTGTTTCATTACAGATTATTTGTGCCTCAATATCTGACCTTCATCAATTTTTTTCACAAAACCCTTTTAAACCACCACTACTACCACCACTACTAATCTAGACAGTCACCTATGTAATAGGAAGTGTTTCAATGGCGAGTAAGTCTCACTATCCCCCACAAAGCACATGGTTTTAAATCTGAACTTTGGAAACTTAAAGATACTCTTGTAAATAATTAACGCAATATAGATGAAACCCTAGTAAATAAATAAAACAGCTAATCTATATCATTTGATTTTAAACCTCCTGTACTATCATTCAGTGTTTTAGTAAAACACATTATTTTTTAAAGACAGATTTGTTTCCTGTGTGTGTGACGTCCCTGCCCAGGGCGTTCAGTGCAGTTAACGTCAGGGCTAAACCTGTTTAAACACAGAGGACAGTTATGAATGATCAGGTATTCCAAGAATCATATTCCAGATGTCTCAGATACATGTTTAAACATTCACATTGATAAGATAAGATAATCCTTTATTTATCCCACAATGGGGAAATTTACAAAATTGTTGTTTTTTAGATTACCACTCATTTGTCCGTTTTAAAAAGCCATGTTTTCATGTGGCAGTGTATCTACATTCATCTATTAGTGTTGGCATAATATTATATAGACAACTTTTATTTACCTAAGTTTGTACACAGAGAGTATCAGATCGGCTAAAAAAACAACAAAGAACAAACAAAGGCTATTTATAATATAACTTTTCTTCTCCTCAGTAGCTAGCTGTGAAGAAATGCATCTTCAGGCATTTTAATAGTTGATCACATTCACAGTTTTCTTCATAATAATAGAGGCACTGAGATACACCTGAACTCTAGAGGTGCTTTTAAAACTCTGAGACTATAATAGAAAAAGCTGCATCATTTCACTTACAGTTTATTTAACCTCCCATCAGGGACATCAACGTTACAAACACTAAATGAAAATCTTTCTCTCAGTAATAAGATTTCTGTATTCTACAGAAATCTTTTCTGTGATCTTGCAGTGTTAAACACATGACACACACACACACACATCATTCTCTTAGTTGATGTGTGTGTGTATATGCACTGGCTGCACAAGTCGGACAAAGCAGACGGGGAGTGTTTGTCTTCTGTTTTGAAGATGAACACATGGCTCTGTGACACAGTTTGTTAGTCTAAGTTAACAGTAAGCGCCTACAGCAGTCTGTAACATATATGTAAGAACTTGATACAAGACAGATTGGAGACTCCGATTGGCTTAAGTAGAATAAGAATACGTAAGAATACGTTTATATAATACTCGCCAGGAGAAATGAATTAAGCACACCGTGTGGTACAGCCAGTTCTGTCAGACCATCTCATAGGCTTTGTTTATATCCTAAAGATAATACTAAAGTCAGGGCCATGTTACCCGACCTAAACTTGAATGTGATGTCTAAGACAACAGGGAGCAGACAATCCAGATATGAGGGGAGACACAAAGTGACCTTGGTTGGCACGGTTACGGCTAACCCTATCAGCTCTGGCTGTCGTCAAGAGCAGAGATGTCTGTACAACTCAAGAGATACAAAAGTCCATCACAGTACACACTTGGGCACTATAATACATACGCTACTTAAACGCAGCTATCTTCTCACTGAGAGGGATTTAGTGACAGGACATTTGTTTCACACTGATGATTCTGTGAGGTGTGATCCCAACATGATCACAGATCAGCTGTGATCTGTTTCACCACTTGTTCTCAGGCATTTTTAGGTCCTAAGATCATTTTCTATGAATAATTCTTGAGAGACATTTTCTCACAGTTCAACGAGTATTGATCCTTTTTGTTTTTCTTTTTCTAGCTCGATGCATTTAACCAGAAGCCGAAGCCAAATGTCATACAGCCGTACACCTCAGTGCCTTTTGAGACTGATTAAGGTGAGTACAGGAAATATTTTAGTTTCTTTTACTCTCACATCAAATGAATTGTTTGCTAATCTTCGACTAAGACTACTACTCATGAATAATAGCTGTATGCATACTCGATAAATATTAGTGGTACATAATTTATTAAAATATATACTGAATACTGAATTTTGGTTGCAAAAACTGAAATTAAATCATGGTTATGTCATTGGTGATGTGTGTGTCACTTTTTTGTTTTGTTCTGTCTTGTTTTGGGTGTGTGTGTGGGTTTTTATTTTATGTGGGCTGCTTGTTTTTTGTTGTTTTATTTTTCTCTATTACAAAAGAAATTGGGCAAACTAAGATTTTATTATAACCATGTTGTTTTATTCTCCTGAATTCTATTATTGTTTTGTTTAACATTATTTAAAAAAAGTTGCAAAAAACAATATTAGCGACACAACAAAACAATACACAATATTATTCTCTTCCTAACTGATATTTTATTGCCGTAATAACATGTAATTATGTTTCCACATCAGAACAATTTGAAGTTGTTTTTGAGTTCACTTCTTTGTGAACTGATGGATTATTATAAATGTAAAGCAGCAGAGAGCAAATGTTATCTCTTTCCTCTTATTCCTCTTTTTTCCCCTGCAGACTGGAAGGAGTGTCATTACCGGTGTCTTTTATTTGAACCTGCTGTGAGCCCAGAGAGACCATGTGAACTTCATGTTTTACATTTATCTAGTTAAGTTTACATCTGATCATGTAACGGGACCACTCCTTTTTTAGTCACATGACTGTATTTCTACTGAATTATTCTCAAACTCTGTGAGTAGATGAAATCTCCTTTAAAAGATTATGTCTGTGCAGTTAATGCCAGTTTACATTAGTACAGGTTGTTAATCAAACCATTGTTATATTTAAGTGGATGTCACTGCTTTGTTTTTGTTTTTTTTACTTCTACACATTTCATCAGCAGAACTATGCTTTGTAGGATCTGTCATCATTTATTAAATTATACATTTTTCATCATGAAGGGTTGAGCTTTTTGGCTTCACCTGATAATGGTTGTTTCCAAACCGAGTAAAGAAGTCTTTGATTAAAAAAAAAGGATTGGATTTTCATTTCTTCCTCTACACTTTAAAATATTCATCTATTAGAGGAGGAATCTTAATGACTTCTCTTGGTTGTCTGATTTTTATTTTTTTATTTTTTTTCCCTGGTGTCTGGTTTTAAAACTTAAAAAAAAAAAAGATTTATCTGTAATCGTTTCAATTCAGAAGTGGGGTCCTTAAAAGTATGCCCGCAGTGAGATCTGAGGCACTATTCTAAAATTAGCTCTGAATTAGAATCAGCATTGAATAGACATCAAAGTCTTGCTACAGCCTGTAGAGAAAACTTTCTACTACATTTAATACAGTTTGTGGTGTTGAGTTCTGCTGCGGGCTCCTCATCACTGCCTGAGGCTACAATTGCCTCTAGCAGTATAACACTTCCTGTTTGAGCTGGATAATTTAGGCCCAGTTACAATGGCGACCAGCTGGTAGCTCCGAAGGTCACAAAAAGAATCCAGTTGAATAGAAGTTAAACCAGAAAATGAGCCCACTTATTACTTCATTTGCTACCTCAGCGAGCATTTTCCTTTTGAGTTGGTACCTGAAAAACAGTTCAAGCAAGATCTCCAGTTTATACATCATGATCCAATTTAGAGTCAAATCAATGATTAAGCATTGTATGTTCTTATATGAGGACAAGTCATTACCACTTCAACTTGTTGATCAGGCAGGTTCTGGTTCTACGAAGGTGCAATAGGTTGCATTGCACCCTCATTTTAAATTTCTGCAACTACAATTGATTGGACATAAAAAACAATTACAATCAGTCATCTAGGCTTTCAAATGACAACAGTGACTCATGTTGTATTGTTACATGTTTATGGCTGTTTCATTGCTGTTGCTGGTTTAGCTGCACCCCGCTATAATCTGGATAAGGAGTAGTAATGTGTAGTATATGGTCATTTCTGGCCCAGAGCACAGAATTAAGTGGTCCATGTCGAGAAAATAAACCCTGTGGCATCACTTGTGTTTTCTGTTGGCCGTGTTAGAGCTGAGGTTCAGACTTGGACACAGGAAAACATGATCTGGATGTTTCTCAGCTCTCAAATTCCTGCTCAATGAATGGAGGAGTATTCAGTTTACTTGCTGAAAGTGGAAAGGCCAAATGAAGTGAGGTCACTGATCTCCTGAGGACTCAGTTTAACATGAAATTAATGAATTACATTCATATAAGACTTTCCATGATAACACCTTCTAAATACAAACACAGGAGGTTGTCTGCTCCCTGTAAAGTCTAAGTCAAGCCTCAGGTTTTTTTATTAAATGAACTGTAAAGGTGGTCAAAGTACAGAGCACTGATGCATGTCTAGATTTAAATCAACACAGAGTGCAAATTTACGTAAACATTCAAAAAGTGATGCAAAGTCAAATAATGATGTTGAAAAAAACAAAAAAACTTCCAAATAAATTACTCAAGCAGTCACACAGCAGTGTTTGCCACAGCACGACTCAGCGCTCCATCATCTGACATGTTGGCCAGGTCGTACAGTTATAAATAGGCGAGTTGTTCATGTGTCGATCTAGAGTTCATCTCTCTCTTCTCCTTGGCAGTAGCACGCTGCTCTCTGGCTGTTCATGTAAGGTCTGCAGCCCAGAGTCCACACTGTGTTGAACAAGGTGTCTGCAACTGTTTCACATGCTGAGGAGAGGAAAAGAGTGTCAGTACAGATCAGAAAAGACGTTTTCCTTCAATCTGAGATTATACTCAGCCTGCAGTTCATTTAAGATTCTGTTTGTCATTTCAATAATTTATCTGCATCCATCCAACAGACATTCCCACAGCCCCATCAGTGTGACAGAAAAGATGTTGCATATAAATGTTCCTAAAAAGTCTCTTCAAATCACTTCTAAAAGTACACTAAACAATTACAATAAAAGTAGTTTAGATTAAAAAAAACACTATTGAAATGTTTTAATATTGAACATTCCCTTCAATATTAAAAAATGTTTAGTTCTTGACAGCTTTTTAGAATTACATTTTTTAATGTTGAGCTTTTAGGTTCTTTCAATATAAGCCTCATTAGACCTGTTTGATTCTCTTCAGTTTACAATGTGCATAAAACCAGGTCATTTTCACAGTAGTTCATGTAGAGTAGTAGAGCAGCTCCCTAAATCAGTTTGATTATTTCATGTAGGCCTATTTATTAATTAATTAATTTGTTCTTTAATTTAATTTAGTAAAATGATCAAAGGTAAAAGCAGAGGATGAACGGTGCTGAAAATGAAAAAGGCTACGGACCTTCAACTTTGGAAACAAAGCCGAGACTCTTCTTGAGGTCGGAGCAGATGCTGTGGAGGCACCAGCGAAACTTGGAGTCGCAGCGGTACTTGTTGGAGCCACAGGTGTCGTAACACATATCCAGCTGATTGCAGCACTTGGTCATGGCGGGGATTCCCATGTCCATCTGATGCGCATAAAAAAGGTGATTAAGGTGCTTGTGGGGTTTATATTAAAAACTTAAAACACTTGTGGACTTTTTTAGACATTTGAGAGGGTAAAAGATTTATAGTGAGTCGAATCTTTTCCTCTGCAGAAGGTTGAAAACTAAAATGAGATGGATGCTTGAATAGTTTGTCAAAAAGAAAAAAAACATGTTGGTCTGATGTCTGAAGTCAAGATTTACAGAGCTAAAACCAGTCCTGAAATTTTGCTGAGTCAGTGTTAAAAACTAATTTAACTGACACTGCCATCTCTTACCGCAGTGTTCAAGATGATAAAACATTAGAACTAGGCCAGGAGTGAGAGTAAATGCGTGATGAAATTTGTCATTTTCACTGAGAATAAAATGGCAAAAGAGAAATCGCGACTGAAAAGTCTTCCTTTTCGGATGTATTTTTTCTTACATCTAGCATAACATTTAAAGTTCAGCTTTATTCAAACAATTCAAAAGAAAAGAAAATCTGTCCTTCAATCTACACCTTCCTAAAGAGCAACACAGAACTGTTGCTTTGCTTCCATCAAATAAAGTCATTAAGATATTTGGTGAAAGGGTGTCTGAGTCAAGGGCTGATCTAAAGAGTTATGGGCAGGGTTTCTGTGGGTTTTGGCCCTCTTAAACACTCTTATAGTTTTTGGTTGAATCTCTTAGAACATAACTATAGATATAATTTAGGAAGTGACAAAGTAACAAGTGATAAATCTCTTTGAAACTTACCCCCTCTGGAACAGGAAGGCCAAAGAAATAGGAGCTACATCCATTTGGTTGTGGCATCTCGTAGCCCGTACGAGGAATAGGATCTTTACCTAAGAGATGAGGAAAAGCAACGTATCAGACGTCATGTTTCACAACTGTGCTGCACTCTGTTTGACATCCATGAGAGTTTAAATCATGATTACACACAAAGATTACTCGCGATATTCATATCCATACAGAAAGATACTACACATTCACACAGTCGCAGCATGTCGATAACTTGTTTTGTTGTGTGTATGAATTGACCGGGTGGTAAATGAGTTTCCCTGCTGGGGAATAATAACGTTTTCTAATCTAAACCTGGTGCTGAGGTCACAGTCCGAGTCCAGGCCCTCTTCCAGATGATAACAAAGAAGATAAGTACATTAAGTAAGTAAATCCCATCATGTGGTAAGGATCTGAGTGCTCTTGTTGTTGACTCTGAAGTGTTCATTAAGTTCCAATCAGGCAATTTACAGAACTGATACAACTTGAATTATTGTGTTTTTTTAAAGGTAGGCTACATTGCAAACTCTCTGTTATATGCCTGGTTTCTTTTTTAAACAACAAGACATCACTGAGATATAATATTTATGGCATACTCTGTTTATGAAGTGCCTGTCTTGGGCATAAGTGATAGCCTACTTCCCCCCCCCCTTTTTTATACTAGTAATGCAGTTACATCTTGTCTGGATCTGGATAAAATGTCAATACTTAAACAAATTGTTAATTGAAATTAAAAGATAATGAACTTTCTATTTTGGATAAAAATGACAGAATTTCCTAAATGGAAATCTTGCTGAAACTTAAAAAAAAAAAAATCAAACTACTGTTTAAAAACACACATTAAAATAAGAGCCGACTTGGGGCACTGGTAGCCTAGTGATGAGTGTGTGTGCCCCATGCACAGAGGCATCAGTCATCAGTCTCTCTCCTGATTTCTGACAATATCCACTGTCCTATGTCTATAATAAAGGCATAAAAAGCCAAAAAATAATACTTGAAACTGATACACGTTCATAGAAAATCACATTTTATACCATACTTGTAATGTAAAGAAAGGTAGAAAAAAAAGGTGTGTCTGTGCAGCAAACTTACTGGTAAAAGGGTCAATGGGGTCGATATCATTGTAACCATAGACCAGACTTACCATAACGACAGCGGTATTGGCACACTCCATCACGTCCGCCCATAAACTCAAGCATGGAGTCAAAGTAACTGCCGGCTGACTCAAAGCCTCCTCTCAGGGAGTGAAGACCCCACTCTTCGTCCTCAGCCTCTGCCTGCGTGCCATCAGAAGCCGGGCCTGGTGCTGGTGGTACCGCTGCTGGGTCGTCGGCCTCCTCACTGACAGCACTGATGATGAAGAGCCCCAGCAGGAGCAGGAGGGGAGCAAGAAGGGCCCAACGGGACATCTTGTTTCCCAGTATGAACACAGATTTTAGAGACTGAAGAGAAACACTGACACACTCACAGAGGCAATACTGAAACTGCCTGCGTGCCATGGACTTTGATCCAGACGCAGGGACAGCCTCATATGTGGAGGAACAAAGTTCAGCTTCTATCTCATCTTTTTGAAATGTCTGAGCTTTTATCATTCTCCCTGATTGATTAGGCAGAGCATGTTTTTTTTTAAACACATTCAGCCAAGGGGATACAAGAAGATTTGAGTTAATGTTGCCCAGCTGCGCAGCTTTTTAACTTAAAATTGGTCTTTGAATGTAATAAAATTAATGCAAATGATTTATCATACCACCAACATGTATTACCCATTCTATTATTCTATAATTCACAACTCAACACATCTACTGTATTTCAGGCAAAACTGCATTAAGGAGTTTTTTTTCTGACATTGTTACAAAGTGATTTCATGTAAATAACCAGACTGAGGAGAACCAAATCTAAACACTCCTCAAATGTGTGTTTGTGTGTCCAAATGTGTTTTTTATTCTCATGATAAAATCACATCTGTATAGATTTGTAATCCTAACTGCTGCACAGGCTTGAGTCTGTTTCCTTAAGTGTTTATTATACTGATTGATGAATTGACTTAATTTCATCATACCAGTTATTTATTTATCTGTATATGAATTTAATTGTTAGTGCATTTTCCACAAAGATTTGTTTGGAAGACTTTAAGTGAGTCAGTCCAGGCCACATAATATCATACTATTCTTCAAGGCTTCAAACAGGTTCTGGTCACTTCTCAGAATATACATCTGTCCAAACTGCACACACTTAGAACATGTGAAACTGGGTCAGATAGGGTGATTAAAATGTTTTATACTAAGTTGATTTGCTCTGAAACTTAAACCTTTGTTTTCCATTTTTTTACCTGTTTAAGGCCACCGAACTGAATTAAACCAGTTTATACAAACCTTTCCTGTTGGTGCATGAGTCAGTGTCGCCCTCTTTTTTTTTTTGCATCTTAGCTTTCTGTAAGTTGAATTTGAAGGTAGTTTAACACTATGTAATCCAATTTTATTAATGAACTTGTGTTTATGGATGAGGAATATTTCCATCAACATGTTTAAAATATTTATTTTCATTTAATTTTTTGTCTCTGCTATTGGGTTTAACCATAAACACATAGACTGTATCCAAATGATTAATATTTTAGTTTTTAATTTTTAACATTTATTTTAATGTTTGTATTTATTATTATGTATTTGTATTATTATTATGTATTTGTTTTTAATCTTTTCATATTTAAGACTAGTAATGCTAAGTTAAATCCTGGTTGTATATATTCTCGTTCTTAGTTTTGATATTTTTAGTGCTTATTTACTTTGTATTTAATATTATATTGTGTTTATTTGCTAATATTGTGTGTTTGCATTACCTTCAATTTCCCAGTTTGGGATCAATAAAGTAATTCTATTCTATTATAATCTATTCTATTCTATTGTCTGTAGTGATTGTCGAGTGTTTTTTGTGTGTGTGAATAATAGCTAAGTACACTGCTTTAACCTGACAGATAGCATGTACAGTCTATGACCTTTATACATGTATAATAAGGAAAAGAATAGTCTGTGTTTTGTTTGTTTTTGTTTGTCCAGACCTGTAGATGGCGGTAATGGCCCTTTTTTTGTTAGCTGGTTCCTCTACAGCCACTATAAAGCCGAAGAAGAAGAAAGTTCTGTGACGTCAGTCTCAAACACGGAAGAAGATGGAAACGAAGGGGTGATGAATGCAGAGCCATGTGAATTACAGTTTGCTCGACTACATTTCAAACAATTGTTATACCAGTAGAAGACTAATGCAGCGTTTTTTTTAATTACATGGTAGCATCGTGAGTATCTCCAGTGATGCAAGTTTTTATATTTGAACTAAAGTTAAATATCTGGGTGTTATTCTCTCCAAAAGAAAAAAAACTAACAAGAAATGGCTTTCACAAACCTTTTCTCTCGTCTGTCTGCTGCTGAAGTAGACGTGAAGAGTCCTTTTCAACCAGACTTGTTGGCACACAGGTATCTTAAAAATGAATATCCATAGCCTTGATGAGCGTTTCTATTGTGTTGGCTTCATCTACAAAGTCATTACTAACACATGTTTGTTTTAAAGGAACGAGACTGGTAATGGCAAAAGAGGCAATGCAAGAAAGAGGAAACCTCAGGGTGAGCAGATGGGCTGTTTGGAAAAGGTCAGTTGAATTAAATGGTTTATTATATCAAAAACACCTCAACAATATACACTGCCTGTCCAAAAAGAAGTCACCACCTGGATTTAACTAAGCAAATAGGTAAGAGCCTCCCATTGGATAATAACTGCATGGGCGATTATCTTTCAGCTGGTAACAAGTTGTTTAACCCAAACTGATGCAATGAGTAGCTTCTCATTTCTTAAACTACTATGTTGAAAGACCCATCCTGTGAAAAGATGTTATGTCTGTTTGAGAAGGGTCAAATCATTGGCATGCATCAAGCAGAGAAAACATCTCAGGAGATTACAGAAACTACTGAAATTGGGTTAAGAACTGTCCAACGCATTATTAGAAACTGGAAGGAAGATTTACCGTGTTCCAGAGTGAGAGGCAGATGCACCTGTCATGCCTAGTGCCTACTGTACAAGCCTGTGGGGGCACTGCTGTGATCTGGGGTTGCTGCAGTTGGTCAGGTTCAGCAACATTGTGTGCCCAAAGAATGAGGTCAGCTGACTACCTGAATATACTGAATGACCAGGTTATTCCATCAATGGATTTTTTCTTCCCTGATGGCACGGGCTGATCCAAGATGATTCATCAGGATTCATCGGGCTCAAATTGTGAAAGAGGGGTTCAGGGAGCATGAGACATCATTTTCACACATGGATTGTCCACCACAGAGTCCAGACCTTAACCCCATTGAGAATCTTTGGGATGTCCTGGAGAAGACTTTGCGCAGTGGTCCGACTCTCCCATCATCAATACAGTTTATTGGTGAAAAATGTATGCAACACTGGACGGAAATAAATCTTGTGACTTTGCAGAAGCTTATCGAAAAAATGCCACAGCGAATGCGTGGCGTAATCAAAGCTAAAGGCGCTCCAACAAAATATTAGAGTGTGTGATCTTAGAGTGTGTGAGCCAGGCAGTGTTTTTCCTTCCTCCATTAAGATGTATCTCCCTTTGTCATGCGATTTTAAAATAATAATAAAAAAAAAAAAAAAAGCCTTTTTGGTCTGTGACTGACTGTATGATGGACTAAGGCTAACTGGATGACGTTTATGATGTTTGGTTTTTTGTTTGTTAAATTTGAGTTTTGTCCACAGCACACATAAGGACTTGAAAATGAAGTCATACTCAAATACGAAGCAGTTGAAGTTGAGTCAGTACCTACAGAATACATTTTATGCAACTAAAGTTAAGTAGTTAAAGTTAAGTAGTTTGATGTTAATGATGCTTTTGGGAAAAACTAATCATTTGTATTTATTGACTTTCTTTAAAATAAATCCTTTACAAATTGACATCTGACTTTCCCTGACATTTAAATTGTAAGGATTTTCTCCCCACAGAGGCCATGCAACCAGACCCAGAGCGCCAGAAGCTATGAAGCCGCATCCTTCAGAGATGACGACCTTAAAGCCAAACACTACTATATGCAGAACAGTCAACATACTAATGCAGGCAAACGAGGAAGACACAACCACAGGGGTAAAGCTGGCCACCATAACACGTCTCCCAATGTTCACAATAACAGAACCAACAATAATCATAACTGGAACATGCAACATGAGCAAAAGGAGAGGACGGAGTGGCAGAACAATCAACATCGTCAGAGGGATGGGTGGAGACCTGCGTACAGAGGGGGCAGACATACTTCAAGAAAAGGTGGACGGGGCAAAGCGAAGGAAAAGCAGGTATGGAAGACACTTGGCTTTGCCTGTCTGGTTGAATATAATTTATCATTTTATTTATCTTACAGTTCAAGATGATAAATAAAGCTCAGCTAGTGTTGTGGCAGCAGAGGCTTTCAGATGAATTCATTTTAAGATCTGACCTGTGATGCTTTATTCATGTTATCCCACATTTTCTTGCTATTCATACATTTCCTCTCTGACAGTCAAGACAGTGTTTATTTTTTTTAAATGGGGTTGAGTTCTATATAAACAGACATGAGGCTGAAAGTTTTTCCATTATTAAGGAGACATGACATTGTGGCTTCATGATGATAAAGCGCACAGGAAGATACTGTGCTGAAAGCCATGATCAAGATAGATGGCTTGATCTGAACTTCAAGAGCAACAGAGATGAGTGTAGGCTCCAGGATGAAGAGCTTCTAGCTAATGCTGTCACTTATGCTGAAACTAACAGGGATCCAAATGAACAAACAAATGGTCAGAGCTGCAGATGAAATGAGGTATTAAACAGTCAGACGTGCCACATTGCCTAAGAGAAGAAACAAACTTAAGAATAAGCAGATCACTTGCACCAACGATGATAAAGTGATATTATAAACGTTTTGTGCCAGTTGAGAAATGTCCTCCTGTATATGTTGCTGCACCTGTGTGATAGAATCTATATATAGATATGTGCGCATTCGATCAGTGCTGTTAGTGCTAGCCTCCTGGCTAACATTAGCTCCCTCTGCCTGGCTCCATTCAGCCTTTGGAGCTGACTGAAAAAGTTTGTTAACTAGATCTTGTTGGGGTCAAATGCCCTAGCCAGCTGCCTCCTTTTTCTTCTTCTGTCTTTTCTGTCATCCTAACTTTGTGCAGGTCCTTGAAGTGCTATGCGGATTCCGACTTAGGTTTGCTGCACACGCTTACGTTGGTGACATTACCAAAAAAAAAGGGCTCATATCAATTCAGGAAGTAGGGGTTTACTGAAGCAACAATAAATCTAATGTGTTTTTGTTTCTCTCAGTCATTTCTGTAATGAGTGTTAAGGTGTTAAATAAAATTTGGTCATAGTTGCTTAAAATTAGGATTGATGTTTTTTTTCCATGGGCCCTCCCCATGTGACTGGGCCCCAACAAGCTTTCCCCTTTATCCCCCCTTATGGACGGCCTTGTCTGTAAGTGAAGATGAATATCTATGTGCCTACCATTTATAGCTGAAAGATTTTGTGTGTTGACAAAGGTTATCACATGATATTACAAATAATTTCCCTGAATTTGAGTTTTCAAATTTAAGTTTCTGCATCAAAAAACAAAGCACAATCTAAATGTTAATTTGTTTTTTGTTTTCCCCCAAAAAAGATGTGAATGTAACAGTCATGATCTTGTTTTCCTCTCAGGACTCCGAGGTGAAACGCACAAGATTCATGTCAGAGGAGTTCAAGGAGCAGAATGCGTTGTGTGTGGATGGTCGCCTACTCTGTAAACATTTCCTTTTGGGAAAGTGCATTAAGGCAGGTGAAGTTTACAATATCTATTAAAAGAAAAAATCTCTTGATATGAAACTCAAATTAGTGCAATTGTCAAAGTGAGTTTTAGGAGAGTAGTGTGATGTCATTCCTCTCCTGTGTGCAGGATGGCGACTGCCAGCTGGAACATATTCAGGGTTACAACGATCTCTTTAAGGAAGCGTGCAAGTTTTACACCAAGGAGCCTGCTTTAAAGGAGAGAGCTGCCCCTACATGCACAATATCCTTTGGCTTAAATACTCGTTTGCATCAAAAGTAGCACGTTTACATGGTTCAGGTATCAGAGATAATGTCTCCAGGTTGCTGCTCTTCGGAGATTTTCTGGGCACATTCAACCAGGAGGGGACCCCGGGGTGTACTGTGTATACTGTACTGTACTGTTGTTACCATTTGGCTTGGTAAGGCCTTGAAATGCCCCTAGAAAGAGCTAGAAAAATGTTGCTGTAGTGAGGGATGATCGACTGGCTCAGCCTGCTGCCACTGCACCCAACCTGACGGATAGATGGATGGCAGCTATCTGATCGGCTTCCTTCATCTACAAACTCATTTCTTTATATTTTAATAGACCTATTCCTGCGTTTTGCTTCACACCGCAGCCTGTTGAACACCTAATGTTTTTCCTTTACTAAACTGCACAGTCCTTCCCTTGCAAGTTCTTCCACAGAAGAGGAAAATGTTTGCAGGGAGAAGATTGCAAATTTTCCCATGAGCCTCTGAGTGACCTCACCAAGAGACTGTTGGATGAGGTGTGTTTGTAAAAAGTCCAGGTTATGAAAATGTTGTTTAAATTATTTAAACGTGTGTGTGAACATGATTTAATGTATTTTACTTCTTCTGTTGCAGGCACTAAAACGAGAACAGGAACTTTATGAACTGGCAAAGAAAGCTGAACGAGAGTCGTTGGAGCAGCCAGTGAATACAGACGAGTCCAAAAATATAGATGCAGATGAACCCCCTGATATACTCTCTCAACCACTGAGGTAGAAAATTAAACCTTTTCCTGCTATTCTGTCCAATATATTGGATGTTCTACTTTAATAAAAGTTCATCCTCATTTATGACATCTCCTTTTAATTTCAGGCCTAACTTTTATCAGCATGTAGAGACAAACGCTGAGAATGAATCCTCGTCGACGCAATTGGAAAAAGAACCAACTGAAAACGTAAAGGAAGAAGAAAAATCACATTCGTCAGACGTTGCCCAACCTCCCAGTTCTCCATCAACTTACTCCGATCACAAGGAGCCAGTTTCTTATTCAGTTGAAGCGGTGCTCGGACCTCAACTATCAAAACCTTTCTCTCGTTTCTTCACATCTACAAGAAGTCAAGAATCTGCTCCCCAGCCTCCTTCTGACAGCACCCCGGTGTCCGCATACCAAAGCTTGATTCCCTACTCTGTTGAAGCTGTTCTCAAGTCTTTCAAACCAGTCGAAACACCCAATCCTCCTCCTGCACAAACTTTATCCTATACACCAAAAGCCAACTTGGCAGAAAGCGCTTATTCTCCGTTAATCTCGGATATACAAAATAAGAAGGGTCTGGTATTCAGTAAATGAAGGAAACAAATCCCAGGACAAAATGTTCAAGAGCCTGCCATCCCTCCAAACACACACAGGTCTGACTTCAAAGGCACTTCCTGATCTTATTCTGGACTCTGAGGATCACAAGACACAAGTTTTGAATATGCAAGAATCCCCGAAACCTGTTCATGAAGTCAAATCTGAGTCGTTTCATTCTCAGAAGTTTTTTTTCTCCAATAGCAAAGGAGACGTCAAAGAAAGTGTGCATCTATCTACAGAAAACAAACCCTCTGTAAACTGTAAAAGTATTTTTCAAGTGGCACCCGATAAGCCCAGAACAGTTTTTCCAAGTGCCTCTAGTCTATCTTCTGAAAATCAGATGAAGCCAAATCTCTTTGCTCTCACGTCTGACTCGGGAGCTTCTTTTAAGCCGTATGGTTTTCCCACAGGTTTCACAAAGTTCTCAAGTAGAGCTGCTGTTCATACCAAACCAGTCTCCATCTCTGTCAAGTCAAGTGAATCTGCCGACCCTGCCAGTCACCTCGCAGCCAAACGACCCCCCGCGAGCGACCCGGCACGCTGCAGCAGTAACGGGCCGCAGGTTGGTCGTCTGGCAGGTGGATGTAAACCGGCCCTGAGAACATCCTTTCATAACCTCTTTGCAAGCCCGATCACTGACTCCATGAAGCCTAAAAGTGATTCTGTAACAACTTCCACTTCTCCTAAAGGCTCGATTCAATCTCCTGGTCCTGATCTAAAGTCGGCATGTTTGAAAAGTAATCCTCTTCTTACTGTGGTTAACCCTGACAAAGCCCCCACTCTGTCCTTTGTCAGCCTTTTTGAAGCGCCTCTCAATGACGCTCCTCTCCCAGGAGTATCCACACCAAATTATCCAAAGACTTCCTCTGCTTCAGAAAAGACAGTCCAGACGGTCGATGATTTGAAAGAAATCTCTCGTAAGCCAAAATTCCTTAAAATCTCCTCGAAACCTAAAATAGAAAATGAAGGCACTTCAGCTGAACGTAAAAATCTGATTATGAATCCCGCCTGTGGCCTTGTACCTGGTTCCGTCAGCGAGTGGTCTTCCAGTCCAACTCCTTGTATTACGAGTGAAACTACAACCCGTGCTGATCATCAAATGCCTGAAATGTCACTCGGTAAAGGTAAGGGGACATGACACAAGACGTTCAGGAAATACAAGGGTGAAATGCTGGTTTGCACTGTAAGTTTGTTAAATGTGTTGTTTTTTTTTTTCTTATGTTGTTGGTTCTGAAGATGTCCCTGCAAGTTCAATTCTGAAGACTCTGTTTCTGCACTTGAGCCCGTACCACCAGAATGAAGAGCAACAGGACAGTGTTCAGATCGGTATGCCACCAGCATTTGTATTAATATCTATACACGGTATACGATGTCATCCTGGAAGACGTGAACACTCATCTGTTATTGTTTTCATGTGTTTCAGGAAATGAAACTAAGGACAAAATGAATATAGAGGTCTTGGAGAAGCAACAGAAGAAGAGAAAGGCAAAGGGCAGGAGATGGTAGGCCATCAGCTGGGAAAGAGCACAGCAACCTATCCGAGTGGAAGTGTGAGAAATGTCTGCTTCTTGCTCACTTAGCTTTACTGCAACACTAAACTAGTAGATCTGTGAGCTACTCAGGTTTCACCCTGCTTCAGTCAGATTACTCATCGCTTGCTTCAAAAATAAAAGTTGGCAGCTGACTAGCCATCATTCAGACATATTTTGCTGTTTTGTAAACAAACCTTTTCTTGTACGACATCACCGTCTGTTACAGTAACAATAAGACGGAGTCATTTAAATGACTTCTCGGTTACTTTGCAGACTTCTTTGTTGAGCTTGTGGTTGTCAATTTGAGAGTAAAATATTGTGTGAAATCCACTGCTGCAGTCTTTGGACGTAGACAAAGAGGAGTTGGTTATATTTGTGCAACAGACAAAGGGTTTATTTTTTTAGTCATTCTGAAATGTGTTGCTCAGCTCTGCTTTCATGTTTGATGACAAAGAATAAATGCCTTTTTAGTTTTAGAGGGAATCAAACATTGGATAAAAGATTGCATTAGAACTTGAAGAGCAAGCTGATTTATTTTTTATCTTCTATGATGTTTGTCCTCTGCTCCTCAGACACCACAGACCACTGAGACAACAGAACAGCAGTCCTCTCATCACATCTCCCCGCAGGCAGCAGGTGTGTCCACCCTCAGCACTCCAGGATTATATCAGTTGAGAGACTCTGGAAAGCACAACTTCCCATTGAAAACGCTGACGCAGCATCACATCGGATGACATCAGAGGAAGGACGGGCGAATGAGAACATGGTGACCTAACCACTCATGGAGCTTTTTAAGACTTTAGACACCAAAGTTATTAAACTCCGGGAGTTTTTGGTGTAAAATCAAACAAAAGTACAGATGAATATTATATTGAATCATGAAAACATGCACAGGCATAATAAAACTTCACTATGTTTATTTAAAATCAACAAACTGTATGAGCCACCAGGATTGTATCTTGTGAATTGTTTTTTGTTTATTATAGAACATGAACATTTTGTTTGTTTTCTGTCATCAGAGAAGAAAACTGTCTGTACACAGATGTGTGTATCAATGCAAGAGAGAGCAAAACACTCGTAATATGTTCTGCCTAATTTAAACCTGCACTGTGGTGTGTGTCTCTACATTTAGAGGTGCATCAAACATTGTGCACTCCTTCTTTAATATCCGATCTCCAATGAGGAAAATCTCCTGCAATAGTCACAGGCCAGGTTTGAGATGTGTGCTGGTCTCTAGAGTAAAACAAAAAAGGACTCAACTCAAGGTTTTCTTTCAATGCCATCTTTTACAGAAGATAGAAGTTGGACAATGACAAATGAGACATTTTATCAACACATCACAAATTCTATAGTCTGTATAGAGATTTTATTCCCATGAACATTAAAGATATACATTTACAGTACATGTTTCTATGACTTATTAACACGATCAGATGCTATAAAAAAGAAAGCAGCCTCAGCTTGTGAGAGGGGTGAGTAAAAGTAAGGTATGAAGGGTATTCAATCAGAAGCATTACACTCAAGTTTAAATTGTAAGTGTCTGTGTACAGTATCATTTAGGAAACTCAAACAGTTCTGAGCAGCAACATGCTCGTTGCAGAGTTAAATTATTAAACATTCTGATTTGATTAAGTGATTTCAGTTCTTCTCTTTCTGATACATGTTTACTTTAAAACGTTTGAACTTCATCTGTGCTGCTTTTCAAGAGATCTTTCTGAATACTTCACATTTCTCTTTAGTACACTTGCAATGCAAAGGACAGAACACTAAGTAACTGTTTCACCATCGTCATCAACCTGTATTTATCTAATGTGAATGTGAATTAGGTTTAGAGATACAGAAACACTGGACGAAGCCTGGCAGAGCTGATATACTTTATACGCTAATCAGGTTGTTTTTTTTTACATATTTTTGAAAAACTTGTAAAAAAAACAAACAAGTATGACTTGTAATTTAAAAAGAGCATGCTTTGGATGGACCTCATTGTTGGATACTCTTAAGCTTTGTCAGTCAATCTGTTGTCTTGATTACTGCAACAGTGTCTTTACAGGTCTGCCTAAAACATCAGTCAGACAACTGCAGCTGATCCAGAACGCTGCTGCTAGAGTCCTCACCAAAACCAAGAAAATGGATCACATCAGTCCAGTTCTTAGGTTTTTACACTGGCTCCCAGTCTGTCAGAGAATAGACTTTAAAATCCTGCTGCTGGTTTATAAAGCGCTTAAAGGTTTAGGGCCAAAATACATGAGTGACCTCCTGATTAATTATGAACCATCCAGACCGCTCAGGTCGTCTGGGACAGGTCTGCTCTCTCCCAGAGTCAGAACCAAACACAGAGAAGCAGCGTTCAGTTTCTATGCTTCTTATATCTGGAACAAACTCCCAGAAAACTGCAGGTCTGCTGAAACTCTCAGCTCTTTTAAATCCAGGTTGAAGACACACCTGTTTACAGCTGCCTTTAATCAAACAGCTTTAATAAGATTTTAAACTTTAAGTCTGCACTGTAACTTTTAACTCTTTTTATATTTTTACTTTATTTATTTCATTTGAATTATTTTTATTTGAACATATGTTAGGATTGAATAATTTCAGTGATTTTTTTTTAAATGTTCTATTTGAATGTTTATTTTCTTTCCTCTGTCATGATGCTTTTGATGTCTTGTGTGAAGCACTTTGAATCGCCTTGTTGTTGAAATGTGCGACATAAATAAACTTGCCTTGCCTTCCAGTTTCATTCAGTAATAATTGAATCGTTCATAACTCGGCAGGTTCATATAGGCATCAATTCTTCTCTCTATATATCAGGCAGCAAAAGAATTGCTGTTTGCCTCACCATCATCAACAAGCTTTTTTTCCTCTGGAGGTTGGTCCGATTTGTCCACGGTCTGGCTGGTGGGAAGTGGGGTGAACTTTGTAGGGTTGTCAGCCTCGAAAGCATCATCTTCTGCTTGATAATCTTGGACGGTTTTCCTTCTAAAGCAACCCAACTGGGGCAGGAAAAATACAAACACAGATCAAGAAAAACAACAGCTGGAAGAAACATTGTACTGATATAATAATTCAGTTACTCAGACTGAAGCTACAGCTCTCAGTGGTAACTTAGTCCTTTGTCTATTTGAAAGAGAACTGTTCATTCACCTTAAACATGATGAGTGTGATGATGATCAGAAGCAAGAGTCCCAGTCCTACTCCCGTTAAAATGATCTGGAGTTGATGAGGAGGGATTATCAGCTCAATGTGGACTTCAATCTTTTGGCAGGAAGAAAAAAAATGTTTAAACTTTTTGAAAATAAAGATTTAAAACTTCTTCTAGATGAAAACATTTAGAGAACATACCCATTTCACAGTTGGATCTTTGTCTTTCCTCAGGCCAGTTTCATCAGACTTCTGTGGAAAAACATTATAATTCATTCACATCCCTGCTCAATAAAGGATTTTTATACTACTTCAGACTGCCTTTTCTTCACAAAGAACTCTGTTTATAAACAGGACTATCATTTATGTCTTAGCTATTTGACCTCTGACCCCTGTTCTCCAAGAGCACCTGATTCATCGACATGTTTTGACCTGGTGCAGCACTCGCTTCAACCTTTTTTTTTTCTATCATAATTCATTGTTGAATAAATATGATCAATGGAGTTTAGTGAGAAGCCGTACAGAAATATAATTTCCAAAGATAACATACCTCTTGTTTATTTGAGTTCAGCACATATCTTTGCTTGTCGAAGTCAACGTGTATAAAACTTTTCAGTTTAACCTCTGCACCATCCCCGATGTATCGCTTGAGAAAGCTGACGTTCTGCAAAACAAGAGCGTGTCAATTTCAACAACACGTTCACTAAACTCAGCAGCTGTGTTTGTGTGTCTTTTCAATGTGAGCTTGTGTTTTAGTTGCCACGTACCGCTGCATGCTCTTGAAGATTCCTAAATTGTACGTCTCCCAATAATTCAATTTCAACAGCAGATTCTTTTTCCAGGATGAAACTGTCGCACTTGACCATTTTGCAGTGTTTATCAGGAGAGCAGTACTGTAACACAACACCAATGCATTTTATTACATGTATTCATACCTTTATTTAAAGGTGCACCATGTAATAAAGGTGAAAGTTGTAGAGATGTACAGATTCTGTGGTATATGTTCATAACTCTTTACACAAACTGTCCTCAGAGGAAAATTTGGTCTCTGTAACACTGTCTGAAGATAAAAAATGATGGATAGAAGTTATGATGTGGGGCCTGAAACAGTGAAAGTGTAACTCTCCTGGTCGCTTTTCAGCTCCAAACAGTGTTCAGGGACCCATTTTTAACTTTGAATAAATGTTGTGTATTCAGTTCAGAAAATAGAGCATAGTGATTCTCTTTTTCTTTTTCCACCGCTTATTTTAATACAATTCTTAGTTTTACCTTTCCTGGTTTACGGTTAGATGAAACCTGTTCGGTTACAAATGTTCGCTGACATGTTGAGTAACTGACTCTTCCTTCTGTTTACTATCTTTTTTATCTTCCATTTATAAAGATTGGGGTGGGATGGGGGAGTGCAGGAACTGGTTTGATGGTTGATGGAGGTGGGAAGGGTCTTGCTTTTTTATTTTTTGTTTGTTTTTGTTTGTTTTGTCTGTTTTTCCTTTGTTTTACTGTGTTTTGTTTTGTCCTGGCTTTATGGAGAGGTGAAGTGTACCTCTTGTGTTTTTGTTTGTCTATGGGGTGTTACTATAATAAAAAAATAAAAATAAAAATAAAGCATAGAATTGTTTCACTTCTCCAACTTTCAAATCTCACTACCAAAACTCCATAGTGCACCTTTAAGGTTTAGTTTTAAGTTAATAATAATATGATTAACTTACTTCAGTTTTCATGTCGACAACGTTGGAACATTCAGTTTTATTCTGAAAGATAAAGTGATAAATGATTAGTGATGCAACACAGGCAACCTTTGGGGTTAGGTAATATTTTTAAATGATGTCAAGGTTACCTGTGGGACAAAGACTCGATAGCTTGTAATTTCAAAGTCATGTTCCAGTGTGGTTGGGAAAAACAGGGACACAGTGATGGGAAATCCCTTAAAGCCAGGATTATTTATCTGCAAAGAGTGAGAGACAGTTTGTCAACTTTAAAAGACCTATTTCATTATTAAAAAAACACACCAAAACATGTGCATTTTTTTTTTTGCAAGGAGTTTGATGAGAAGATTTAAAGTGATTGCATTTTCTTATGTGGAAAAACATAAGAACGTAAGAACATGGACGTAACCTCTTGGTTTAAAACGGTAGCTATAGAGAGTGCCTGCAGCTATTTATGACTGCCAGCAGGGGGCGACTCCACTTCTGCTAAAAACAAGTGATACTGGAGTTTTGATGATTGCAGCATCTTTTTGAGCATTTATAGACAAAGACAATATAGACACTTCTGACTCACTTAAAAAATAACAAGATTACTTTGGTCAAAGCTAAATTTAAATCCTAAAGTTAGTCCACAGACCAAAGAGTGACTTCTTAGTGTTTGTTCCCACGTCTTACATTCAGTCTATGGTATTTGGTGCTTCTCAGCTGCCCCCAAAGAGGAGGTTAAATCCCCTCTTGAAATGTTTTTGAACTTTATCAGATACACATTTTATATGGTTGAATTATCTGCCTCACCTTGTACAGTGCGATCAGTTTTTTGGGCGCAGTCTTTTCGTCTGTTGTGAAGTTGAGATAGGTTATTGAGTCTTCTCCCCTGAAAGAACAAAGGATGATTACAATGTGTAGGTAGTTGGAAAAAAAATCCATATATTAACTAGTTACAAAATGTTATTTATTGGAGTAGCACCACTTACACAGTCACTGCCAGTTTAACTTCATACTGTACGGGGATAGTTTTGATGAGGGAGGTTGTTCTGGTGTAGTTTGTGTTATCACTGAGGATTTAAAAGCATGAATTGTTTATATTAAACATGACAATGTAACATTATAACCAGTATTTTATAACAAAAAGAAAATGTTAGTGCTTTATTCTGTGTGTTGCATTGAGAAGGTCTCTACCTATTTCCTGTTATGTTCATTGAAATTGTGTCATTCCACTCGAAGTCGGACAAGATGCGGAAAGAGGACTTAAACGTTGCCTTCACAGAGAAAGAAGACAAGTGTGTTAGACGTGATTCAAAGAGAAAGTGTCACAGGAAAATACATGTATATACAAAATACATGTCTACATGTAGGAAGTAACCCGAGATTTGTAAGTGTGAAAGATCAGGGCACTTCTCGTTTCTGAAACTTTAATTTCTGTTTGTTGAGGGGTTGTCTGGTTTGCAGTATGACTCACAACTGAATGGCTGCGATACACAGGGCGGCTGACACCACACACGGTTCTGTCCAACACGTCCAGATCAAGACACTCGTGAAGTGTTGGTCTGGTCCACTGTTGTTCAAAGAAAAGTGGATGTGAGATCCTTCAGGATAAAAGCATTTCCTTTGAATTCAATAATGAAGTAACAATGAACTCGAATCATAAATCCACCTTTAAGTGTGAGTAATGCACGATTAAAAACAACACATTAATACACAGTGAACAAAACAAATAGAAAGCCACAGAAACATTAAGGGAGTCAAAATAACATAAATGTCATACAACAAATGAAATCAGCCATATATAGGATGGTGAAGGGATGACTACTCTATCTCTGATTGGCTAGTATACACAAATGAATATGCATGAGGAGTCAGAGGCTGTTTATCCTCCGCTGGACGGCACCACTACACCACTGACCCCTCCAAAGATTTCCTGTTCAGACACATGTTCTTTGTACACCATGTGCTAAATTGATATTCTAGTGTCAGACAACTTTACAGATGGGGTTTAAGGAATGAAACACTAAAATAAGTATGTTTTTTTATCTCACCTTTGTCAGAGTCATCCTGGAGAAGGAGAGGCCTACGGGATAATGCATTGTGAGGCTTGTGTTGTACGAGTCATCCCCATGATTAGACAGTTGTATAAGCACGTTGAAGGAATTATCTTCTGTCACCAGTAGTGTCGGGGTCCTAAAAGAAAGAAAGTGCTTTTTATGTTTGCATTCAACGTGAGTATATCATCATCATCATCAACATCATCATCAACTTTTATTATTAGACTCAAGGTCCATTTTAAAAGACATACAATACAATATAGCAGTCCCTGTGCAGTGTTAGTCAAATATACATACGTGAAGTTGAAGTCCACCTCGAGTTCAGCGACACAGACGTCGTTTCCACTACATTGCTTTTCAAAGGGAATCTGAAAAAAAAAAAAAAAAAAAAAAAAATTCTGTTTTGTGTCACACTTCCAAATTGAGCAATGCAGAGATGATTGTGTAAAACATGGCGACAGCCCGTTTTTTTTTTGTTGACCAGGTTAGTTGAGAAAAAAACAGTGCATATGTTTGTGGTGATGTGACTGTAGAAGAAGAGGGAAGACTCAACAAGCCTATCTTTGATTCAAAGTTTGTTCAAAGCCCAGTTCCTGGCGTCACATTTTGTCTTTATTTGTGACTGGTCTTAAACTATCTGCATCTTTAATGGAAACATTTCCTCACAATATTATAAATAAAAATGTTATAGATTTTTGTGTTTGTGTTTGTTCTGTTTAAACTTTGAAACATGTGTTATGCCCTAATAGAAAGTGTGTATCAGGACTACAAATACTGGAAAATAGGTCAAATGTCACAGTCAGTTCTTTTGTAACATTTATGTCCTGAGGAGAATCTTGCTTTCTGTATCAAAGATCAGTCCCCACTGAGTAAATCAAAGATCAGTCCCCACTGAGTAAATCAAAGATCAGTCCCCACTGAGTAAATCAAAGATCAGTCCCCACTAAGTAATATAGTCATGCATGACATTTGCAAGTAGACTTTTTTCATTTTTATGAAGACTTGACACCTGCTGCTTTCCCGCATGTCATTCCCCACACTCTCTCTCTCTCTGGTTTCCTCCTGTCCTATCAAATAAAGGCAAAAAGATCCAACATAAATTTAAAAAAAAGACTGTGCTTACCTCCACAACAGACTCCCTTTTGCTGTCCACGTTCAGGACAGCTTTTGCACCCTCACTGTCGACTTGTGAAAAATGTAGTTTGACACTGATGGGTGATAACGTGTCTACTACACATTTCTGAAAAGAAAAAACAAACATGAGTAATCTGCATATTGTTGAAGAGAGATTCAAACAATGTCGACAAAAAACACTTTTCATTTGAATTAGTTTGTTTTGCAGATTTCACTCAAATAGTAAATAATGAAGAGGAGTGCTGTGCTTCTTCTTCATGTGAGTTGTAAGTGATTCTTACTGAGACTGAAAGGCGTTGCTACACTGAAGGTGGGTCTGTATGGATTAAGTTACCTATAGCCGATGGCTGTATACTTGATAAAAAAAAATGCAACTTTAATGTCAGATTCTGAATTAAAGGTTAGATTGAAAGTAAAAGTATAGTAGCATTTTCTTGTTTTTGAAGAAATGTTTGATCACAATTTGAGGCCGATGCATAGAGCATACGTTTTGGGCTACTACTCATTATTTTTAATATTTCCTACCAAGTACAGTAGGAGAAATCAGTATACTTTGCTCTCTCACTCTTTTATTTAAATTTCTTCGCACAGGTTAAATAGGAAAGATTCAGTGACATGAAGAATATTGAGAGATGTACAAAAAGATGAATTTTTATGCAGATAAAATAAAGTGAGGGTGAATTTCATCATTTCATTTCCATACTGTCATGTTGATGGAGAAGTTGAAGCAGGTGTCTTCATCCCCCAGCTCGTGGGTAAAGCTCAGTTTCCTGACTTTCCTGTCATGTTGGAAGAAACCCCGAGAAGTTTGTCTCATCGGATCCACGTCGAGCGTGTACGTGATGTTCAGTCCAGGGCTCACTGCTCAAAGGCACAAAGCGGGGTTAAAATAAACCACAGGATAGAGGTTGCATTGAGTATATTTTTGGGTGTACTGACCTGTTTTGCTCTTTGTGGTTTCTACTTTTTTAAAACAGGCTGCTATGTCAACCATTGGTATGATTTCATCTTTGTTGCTCAGGCAGTCAATTTTCTCAGTGCTGATCTCCTCAGGTTGAAAAGACAGACTTGCTATGACATTAAAGACAGGCCTGGAGCTGAAAGACATTAATAAGATCCATTCAAAAGTACGATTTGACTTGAAATGTTTGGTTTGATAGGATAAGTGTTCACTTGATAGACATACTTTTACACAATATCCATACCTTAAAACAACAGCCATGCCCTGTGATCCGACCACAATATCTGGGAGCCCGTCATCTCCAAGGTCCATGGCTCCATCGATGGCCTGTCCAAAGAATCTCAGACCAGGCTGTATGTTCTTACCCATGATTTTCTGAAAAAAAGAGACTTCACAATTCAAAGAGTGCATGTTTCACAGCAGTGGGAAAGATTCAAGTTTGAATAGTAAGTGCCGGGGAGCCTGTTTAGGTCAGTTGGTAGTGAAAGCGCAGGTTCGACCCCCGATCCTGATGCTATTTGATGCATGACATCCCCCAGTCTCTCTGCCCACATGTCCTTTTTCTCTAAAGCATCTATTAAAGTCTATTAAATATAGAATTAGCACCAATATATATACCTGATAAACCATGATGATGGATCAAAATAAACCACCCTGCTTTACTGACAAACTTGATTGCAGGACAATTTGTTTAAACACACGTTGTATATATAGACCCTTACATCAACCGTTCTTAGAAAGGTCCTAAAAACTTTCAATTATGTCAAGTCAAAGGTTCCCCAAATCACAACATCATGATGCATATTATTAAAATGTCTAAATCTTTGCTTTGCAGGTCAGCTCATAAGGTGAACAAAATGAAACAAGAATATATAGACATGACAACTAAAGCGAGAAAAAACAAACAAAGACAAAAAATAAAAATAGATACAAAATAGCAAAACATAAGCAAAGATACGAGAGCAACAATACAGACAAAATACATTTAAATGAGATGAAAGTCAAGCAATGATTTTTATGTTCAGGTAGTGTGATAGAAAGGTGTGAAATGTGTTCGTGGCAGCGCGATGCATTAAAGTGCAGAGCTTAGTGGGGAGAAGCGAGAAAACAAACAAAAATATAAATAAATGAAAAATGAAAGAAGATAAAATTATATAAATGTAGTAATGTGACCATCATAAAAAGAGAGGTGATGGTAATAAATATATATATGATAATAAATATACACACGTACATCCATAGGTGTACACATACATGCGTACCAAGATCATAGAGATGTCGTAAAGAAGAAGAACAGAGAAGAGGGGGCCACAGGGTCCCCGCAGAATCAGGCAAGAGGCCCCACCCCCGCACATAAAGCCCCCCCAGCGCCAACTCCCAAGATGGATGGGGCGGGCTGGGTAAGCAAAGAAAGGAAGTCAAGTTTCTCTAATGTCTCACCTGGCTGAAACTGCTGCGCATCCCTCTGCGTCTATCACCAAGGTAGATGTACACAACCCCCCTGTTCTCGTCCTCCAGGGGGGCTCCTACAGCAACATCCCGCAGTGCATCTCCATTCAGGTCTGCCAGACTAGCTATAGTGGTGCCAAATCTCCCCGTTGAAGGTGCATTCACATCAAGTGCCTTTACCAGTTGCTTCTGTAATCAAATATATATGTTAAGCAATTAAAGTAGAACAATGAATGAATCATCTCCCCACTTCACCATCTTCACTTTCAAACAGAATCTGAGCCGACCTCATCAGTCAGTGAGTAGACGTAGATGTGGCCTTCCCTCTTCTCCGTAGGCTGGTAAAACAATGGAGCTCCCACCAGAAGGAAATCAGTGTCCCCGTCCGAGTTGACGTCCACTGAGCACAGCTCCGCACCAAAGTAGGAACCAAACTAAAAAACAAATAACACTATGGTTACAAAAAAAAAAGTAGCACTACATTTATCATTTTAGAGAAACACCTGCACCCCAACCCTAATCTGCAAAAGCAACCTGTGGGTGTCTTCCTTCCAACCACCAACATATTGTGTCTGTGTTTATTAAGGTGCAATATGTGGCACCTTTACAAAACAGCAGTTCTAAATGCAATATAAATGTCTGGAACCAAATGACTTTAAACTTAAAATGATCGACTTTGTTCACTATATTTTCATTGTTTTCTGCACACACATAAAAAAAATCCTTCGCTAAGTAACTTTTTTTTTCTAATGTCAGGGCACGTATACAAAAGACTTCAACTTTTTCCCCAAAATACAAATTAAAAAACAAAACAAAAACTTCCATCTCCTACATTTTTTTCCAGCTTGCTCGAATACTGTTCTTTATGAAACATGCTGCACTACCAAAGGCCTCATGTGTCAGTGGTTACAAGGAGGAAGCAGACAAACTTCCTTGCACTGGCACAAAGTCGTTTCTTGAGAAACCGCAGCCATCTCTCCTTTTGTTGAAAACATGGTTTATAGACTTCTTCTATTGCTGCAGCTTGCAAGAAAATGGTTAACTTACTGATCAACTCTGAAAAGTTCAATCTGATCAAGCAGCAGATTTAAAAGTGGGTGTTTTTTTAATGACTAAAATTCCTCGCAGTCTCGCATCATTGAATTTAGAACCAAATTCATAGGCAATCTCTGAACCAGCTCTGACAGAGATTAAGTCCTTCTGTCATTTGCAATGGCAGATAGAGTACTTCTTAAAGGCTTTATATGCGATTTTTTGATCCAGCAGATGTCGCCCTTGAGCACCAGCATGAAACCACAACAACTCGCGCTGCATTGTTGTGTTAGCATGCTAATGCTAGTGATCTTTATTATGCTCATATCTTCACACTGCATGTAAATTTACCTGAAATGAGTGTGATCTAGAAACACAGTTAAGCAGTGAGTACAGTATGTTATTCTTCTTTTCTCTAGTCCCTCAATTAAACAACTTATATACACGAGGGGAGGAGTCAGCTGGCCATCCCGGCGATGTAAACAAAGTGAAGATAGGACTCTGAAAACTCTGAAAACATCACAGACAGTGGGACTCAGGTGTTACACCCATTGTAGACAGTCATGACTCACAGAGTTATTTTCAGAGGAGATACTTGATTTATATTATATTTAAGTGTGAAAAATAGAAAGACTTTAAAGAACACAATAAACAAATATGAATTTTCAGAATATGGCTGATGAAGCAGGAAACTTCCTCGAAACATTTACCAACCTTGTCCCCGAGTACTCTTTGTGCTGCGTCCCACTTCTTTCCATTATGTTGGAAAAGTACAACCTGTCCGATGTGCAGAAATCTGGGTGCTCCCGTGAAGTATAGAGGAGCGTTACTCCTCTGTCCAACAGAGACAGAGTAGCCTGTAACAGTGTGAGACATGTGACAAAGGGCTCCATTTTTACTCCAGTCAAAGCTATTATGATCATCACACAGTGACAGAAGTTTTCCGTTTCTTGATAATCGTGTATTGTTATGAAGTAGTTGTAGATACACATTTATGCAGCTTATGATCCCACAGCTTTGCAACTTTCACCACAAAGCCACTTCTAAGTCGTTATAAAAACTTATAAATATGATTTACTGTGGCAGTGCCTTCGATAAATCAGAACATCTGTAGCTACCTCAGCAGAATAAAAAATGATTAAAATCAAAGAGATGCTTGTCAAGTTATCTGAAAAGAAAAAATACTTCATGTTTGGTACCAATGTAGGAGTCCATCTGCATTTCTGAATCTTTAATATTTGTTTCACTTTCTCCATGAAACTCTTGAATTGAACCTCTCCAGCTGTCAGTTCCCACTGATCCAAGAATCAACGCGTCCTGTTGACAGAAATGACTGTTCAAAGCACGAAAAGAAAAGGACCCACGGACAATATAGTGTTGGCAGACAACATTTTGTAATCTCATTTGCTGCAGTCGGACTATTTAATTGTGGCTTGGTTTGTTTAGTGAGGCATCCATCACAATTAACCAACATCCAACAAATCAAACTGTCACACACAGTGGAATCTTCTTGCTCAAGTGTGAAACGTTGACACATTCCTTCTGTGGTTTTATGAGCCTTGTGTTCATTGGTTGTGATGTCCAAGCATTCATAGTACAAGTAAGGCTCAAAAAAAACCCTGAGATAAGACATGTTTAGTGACTTTTCTTACATTGAGAAGAGCCGTGTGTAAAGTTTGAAATATAGTCATTTGTGTGTAAACTTATTCAAAAAGAAATGAATAGTCATATAATGGCTGCATCTATAACTGAATCTGCTTGTATGCAATGTTTGCAACGATGGATTTTGACTGTCCTCACCTTGTGGAAGACAGCGCTAAATCCACTCTGTGACATCTCATTTATCATGTTTCCCGCCCGAGCCACCTTTGAGCCTAAAACACAAACAAATATAGTTTGAAATGACTATTGTAGATTCTATGCAAGATCCAATTTGAGAACAATTGTGAAAAGAGTTTGAAAAAATAATAAATCACCTTCCAAGCTAAAAACCTTTTTTTGGAAGTTTTCCAGCACTCCTTTAAGTCCGTCATAGTTCTCAATTTTGAAGGCATATTTCTCTTTCGGTTCTGAAGCAATGGCTGTGAATTTATCCAGACTAGCATCTTTGACCTAAAACCAGAATCCTGTTTGAGATTATGCATGCATGACACAAACATATTATACATTTTGCACAATACTGGACTTGGCAGTGAAATGAGTGAAAGTTGTTTAATGTGGGGATTAGCTGTGTTAATTGTTAGCGTTTTTGCTTTAGGTTTATAAATATTTGAAATGTTCCCATGCTTGTTAATCATTACTTCACTTTTATTAATAAAAAATAATCTGCATAGCGGTAAACAGAACATCCCCACAGATTGATTACTAAGATTGACAACATATTACTCCCAATAGTTTGTCAAATAGTCATGAAAATAAAATGTATGTGTGTGTGGTTACATACTTTAGATGTACACCGTTCACTTTGTGTGCTGCAGTCAGCATGAATTTCAAAATGTTATTCAAAAGGAAATGATTGTTCATGCAACACCCTTATCATTTCAAGGTCATTAAATTGCATCTGATTGCATCTGGGGTGGCGGTGCTTCCTATAAAAGGTTTTCTTCATCTGCTCGATGATTATTATTTCAGTCCTGACCTTTTCCTACATTTGACATGTAGATGTGAGAAACCTGTCTTCATTTGGTAATGTTAAGACACAAAAAGTTCAGTTTGATTGAGACCCTCAGCCTTAATATGATACGTCAACTATACCAAAAAGAGAAATGGTAAAAAAAGAGAAAAAATCCTGCCCATGTAGCGGCCTATATATTATAATTTTGTGGCACATGACATCATGATACAGGGTTGTTGTTGTTGTTGTTGTTGTTGTTGTTAAAGGTGCACTATGTAGATTTGGTGGTGAGATTTGAAAGTTGGAGAGGTGAAACAATTCTATGCTGTTTTTTCTGAAATAAATGCACAAACTTTATTCAAAGGAAAAAATTGATCCCTGAACACTGTTTGGAGCTAAAAAGCGACCAGGAGAGTTACGATTTCACCGCTGCAGGCCCCCCACCATAACTTCTCATGTAGCATTTTATCTTCAGACAGTGTTACAAAGTTTGTGTAAAGAGTTATGAACATATACCACAAAATCTGTACATTTCTACAACTTTCTTTTTTTTTCCAATACTCTATATTGCATCTTTAAACATGAAAAAATCAATTGAGCTACAAAGATGTATTATTGTACTGATTAGAGAAGAACATTGAGACATTTGATACCATTGCACAGCTTACCCCAATGACAAAGCGAATGATGTTTTTCTCATCGTATCTTTTAATAATATTATGTCTGTCTTTGTCACTGGGATCTCCATCAGTGATTAGCACCAATACTCGAGTAGCATCTTTAGAGGCACCTGCACCTGGGTTTTGGAAGAGTTTTTCCCTGAAACAAATGTTTTAATGCTCAGAATAAATGTGATCTGTAAAATGAATGAACATGACTTCAAACATGAGATGCTCATAATATTATATTTATACCTTCCATTACTTTCAGTGTTCAGCTTTTGCCTCTTAAATGTTTTCAGTTGTAAAGAGTTTGTGTAATGAAACAGAACTTACAACACATATTTCAGGGCGCTGTGGGTGTTGGTGAGAGTATTCAAATGTTCTTCCTTCATAAGTTTATCGTGAGCAGTGCCGGCTTCATAGTCATTAAAGTCAAAGACTTTGCGGTAGTCTGAGGAGAACTGGACTGCTGCGAACTAGAAAAACAGCATGATGCAACAGATGTTATGAAACAGAATAAATATTACAGTGTTTATATTTAAGTTTGCAGGTAGATGCTATCAATGCTTTGACATTGCAACTGTCCAGTTACCTTGATTGATGTGTTTGAAAGGGTTTTCATTATATCCACTATGAAAAGTTTATTTTTGGAGAACTCTTCTTCCTTCATACTCCCGGATCCATCGAAAAGAAAGACTAGGTCCACTGTCTTTTTTGTGCATTCTGAAAGTATACACAGTTTAAAAATGTATAGAAAATGTAGTAAGGTCAATTTGTACGGAAAAGGATTAGGGCCACTGGAAAAAACAATTCTGGTTCTCACTTTTTTTTTCAGAATTCTGAAATTCAGAATTCTAAAAAAAAGAAGTCAGAACCAAAAAAATATTTTTTTCAGTGGCCCTAATCCTCTTCTGTAAATTTGTGGAAGTGTAAACTTTAAAAATCTTTTACCTTGAAAAGCCGGTGTGAATGAGGAGACTTGCTGAAGTTGATCTGTCATATTGTAACACACACTGTTCAGATAGGAGTTCCCATAACATTCATGGACGACACTTGGACTGCAAACCTTTAAAAAAATAAAAATTAAAAAAAAATTAAAAAAAAAGATTAGTTTGCAAAGAAATAGAGGCATTTCTTCCTATACTAATGAATGTGTTGCTCTCTTACAGTGAAATGGGAGCCTGTTGAATCTTCAGCTATCGACAAGCCAAAGTGCTTGACTGGTAGTGTCGCCTTTTCCGGCGAGATTTCTACAGTATCAACAACATCATTCCATTAGTGCTTTTAAAAATACACACAGCTATATTATGACATGGAGTTCATCTTGTAGTCCTGTTTGAGTACATGAAACCTTTGTGTAATATTGCTTATTGAGCTACATTTCTATACCTTTGGGGTTGAAGCACTTGGGGGTTTGGTGTTGAACAACATGTGTGCATATTCCCCCGGTTCCATTTAGCTGCAGCGGTGCAGTAACTATGATCCTGTGGATAATAAAAATGAATGAATAAATAGATTTAAAAACAAATGTAAGAATTTAAGTTGTCAGCTGACAGAAGAAACACAGAAAATGCTCCTCGTTTTGCAGGATGTGAAAGTGATCTTTCTCTGATGACACTGAAAGATTTAACACAGGATATACTACGTATAATTCAGAGTGATAAAACCACACAGTAACTGTAACTCGCCATAGCCTCTGACACAGGAAACAACTTTTATCTTTCCTCTTCACATTCATGTGTCATTCATACCAGGCTAAGATCTAGAGGCAGGAGCAGAGCCAGGGCCCCACTATTTCTGCTGTGTTACATGCCGCTGGTGGCTTCCTTTACTTTTCAGTGTAGCCCATTTCATTTGGTTAGTTGTTAAAAAGTGACTTTGGTCGTAGGAAGGCGTTTTTTTGGTGGGTCGCAAATGTGTGTCTGAAAAAAGACTTGTGTCAAAAAGTCTTTAAAGAGACTTTTTAATTCTGTTTGTTTTTTTATTCCTTGTTTTGTACCCACTGATGTCCAAACTGCACAGTTTTTCATCTGATTGGTGAAAAATGTTCAGCTAGACTAGTTGAGAATCCCTGAAATGTTGTCACTTTATAGTGGAAATTGTGATTCAAGTCTAGATGGAAAACAGTTAAAGTTAGTACATTTAAATATTCATAGAAATTACATAGGTTTTCTTTTTTGTTGCAAATAAGAACATGGATCATTTAGAACGAAAAAAAAGACATTTGATGGTCAATCGACTAGAGGCAAATTCTGACCAATCAGATACGACCCTACATGTCAGTCTAGAAACTGCCATTTAACTGAGAAATATGGATATTGATAATGAGAGCAATATACAACATCAACTGAACTCTGTAACTCACCCTTTGTTTGTGCCAGACATGAACTGAAGCACTCTGTATCCAAAGAAATCCTTTTGTTCACCACTATAGACAGTGGCATCATTTACATCCATGTTGAAAGCCAGCAAGGTGGGGATGGCTGTGGTTTGTGAAATTGAGAAAAAATCTTTGATACGTTGTGGTTGCGCTTATTATATAATAGAGCTCTTTAACTTCTTCTATACAGTTGATAATATTACAAAAATACCAATTTCAAAACTACTTAAATTCAATGCTGAATTTAGTACTATTGAGTGGAATGATGAACTGTCGCTAGAAAATCCAGAACAAATTCTAACATAACTCCACACTAAACTTCAGACAATACAGAATAAACATACCACTGCCAGCAAGGGTCGACCTAGGCAGAGTAAATTACCATGGATAAATTCTGAATTATCTCAACTCCTAACAAAGAAGGCCACTCTCCTCAAAATGTATAGGTTAAGTCGAACAACTGAGAGCAAAAACAATTTCATACAAATTAAAAATAAATGTACTACTGAACTGTCGACTCTTAAGGTCATCACTGAAACACCAGATAGAAATAGATAGAAACATTACAACACACAAGGGTGTGACTGTAGTGTGAATGTAGACATAGTTCCTTACCACCAAAGCATTACACTACTATGACATTTTTTAAACTCTGGATAATTTGAAGATATAAAAAAATAAAGATAAATCCGACTAATAATAAAATATATCAAAGAAAAGATCATGGGCAAAACTTGATCCTGGCATTAAAATCAACTCGATTGCTATCAATTTAGTCAAAGGTTTGGGTGTGTCACGCTAATATCAGCTCTTTAAGGAAGATCAATAATCAGCAGCAGAAGAGAAGTCTGTTTCCTTAAAAAAATGTGTTCTGGGTGCTCCAACCCAAAGACCTTCTAGTTTCTATTAGAATAGAATAGAAAAGATGTTTATTGCCATTTGCACAGGTACAGGACAGTACAGGTACATTAGAATTTTTGTGCGTTTCTCCCTGAGTCAGCTTCTACAAAAAAGTTTAAATTATATATAAAATAGAATAGCATTATAAAGAAAAAAAGAGTAGAAAAGTACAAATCAAATCAAATAAATAAATAAATAAGTTGTAGTAACAGCTAAGTGATTCTGTATAAACTGTACAGAAGCTATACACTGTATTAACTCAAAGATATAATACAAAAAAATGGGAAACACTGTACAATGAAATGAAAATATAAATATGTTTTCTTGTCTCTACTTTCTACATCTCGTATTACACCTGAGCTTATTGCACACATATTTTTCACATTATATAATTACACTGTTTTTTGTTTTTAAGGTTAATATTGCACACTTGTATTGCAGTGTAACATTAGCAGAGTAACTTCTGTAAAAAAAAAAAAGGTTGCTACAATGAAAACTATCAGAGTTACTTTCTCAACTTGAAACTAAATGATGACAAGCAAGAAAAGCCTGTGGTCAAGCCCTGCCTACTTAACTCACAGTCATAGACGTCTTGAGCTTTCGCCCTAGTTTTTGGAAATACTGAACAATAAAGTGAAATGAGCCACTACATGTTTAACATCACTTGTTTCCATTAGTCATGGATTATCCTTATTATTCACTAATTTTTTTCAAAACAAAAAGTTCTTTATCATTGTTTTAGTGAGGAATTTAGTCGATGACTTTAAATAGTTAAATCATAGAACTTACCAGCAGCCACCATGTAGGTGAGCAGAAAGATGCGACCCTGCCCATGCATCTTTCACATCACTCTTCTGTTGACTGACAGATCTGCTGCTGTTGCCTGAGAAGAACCTATTTCCTGTGTGCTCTTTTCTCTCTCTATATAGGCGTTTCCGTAACAGGTGGTTGTGACACTTCTGCTCTTACAGCAAATGCTCTCACCAAAAAGTGTCTTTTCGCTTGTGCTTCTCCTTTTATTTTTCAATTCCTGAACCCTTTGTTTTGTACTTTTGTGGAGGGGGATTTCCTTTTTTTCCTAAAAGAAAAAGAGGTGCCACAGAATGAAGAAAGTTGTAGTTATTGAAAGCCAGCCCCGCTCTGATTTATCAATGAATTAAAAGTATTGTTAGCACAACAGAAGTCTGAAATATTATTAAAAAAACAACACAGTTTCAGGCTGTAGACTGCTTTTTGTGCTAAACAATTCAACTAGTCAAAACACAGAGAAGAGGGTAATCCACACAGTGATGCATATTCATGCTTATTGTTTATATCACTGGGATTTTCTCCTTTTTTGTTGTTTTCTTTATTTGGTCAAATGTAAAACAAACATGACATGCAGGGTAAACTGAACTTTCAAATAACTGTACCGTATAAAAGTTATGATGCATTTAATGCTGAGTCAGTCAAACGTTAAAAAGGATTGACGTAATGGGTGGAAACTTTGCCTACACATTTATTTAGTATTTTCTTATTTATTTCAAATTTTCATACCTTTTATGTTGTTGGTGGGGAGAAAGTGTTATTGCTGACTGAACTACAAACTACATGTCTACATTGCACTGGCGGACTCAGGATGTTTGAGATGCAGGGGTGAAAATAATACAAAGGGCACCTGTTCTATGCAGTGGGTCACCAGCACACAAAAAGTCATCATATTGCGTTTTCTCCACCAAAGGAGCACATGATTAGATATGTGCCCTCTTGACGGCACTTAATCATGATCACTTATTATGCAAGCTACACTTTACCATGTTTTTCTTACATTAACATGTGTCCCTAGCCTGTCTACAAAGCACCCAATGATGAGAAAAGTCCATCCTCTCCGTCTTCTGCCTGCTCCACTTTTTATAAATGTGTGCTCAAACAGGTCATTTTGAGATTTTCCCTTCATGACATCACAAAGGGCAGTAGCCCCTCCCCCAAGTGGGTGATGCTCCCACAGCTAGGTGTTTGTTCTGCCCTCTGAGTCTGCCTTCTCATCATAAACAATAAGGCATGAAGTGAGAAAGCCCAAGCCACATCCCCTTCCAGAGAGGGGGCGTGGTCAGACACAGATCATTTACATTTAAAGGTACAGACACAGAAACAGTCTATTCTGAGCAGGGTTGAAATAGAGGGGTTTATAGACATGATTAAATACAGAATCAGAGTGGATTTTTACCAAGAAACTTCACACACATGTTTTGGGGAGCTCTGGGATTTATTTAAACTTGTTGAAAAGATATAACGTGACCTTTAAAACTTAAAACTGCCTTTCTTCTTTTCTTGACATTGTCATTTGGCCTACATAGGGCTGGAAGAAAATCTACTTTTGTCTACTTTCTATTCCCCTTTATTCCTTATCTATCATATGACAGGGCAAAAACAGAACCTCAAATATTTCACAATCCTAAGTAACAATAGAGCGCTGTCACAGTTGCTGTCAAAAATAAATCGACACATCTCGAAATAAGTATCTACATTTTAATTGAAACAAGATTCAAAAATTGTTCTCATTTACTCAGTGCGGATATGTCTGATCAGGATATCTGTGATGCTCATCATTCTTGGAGACTAGAGAGTCAAGGCTTTTTAACTTTGAGAGAAAAGTCCACCACTGGGCATCCCTGTGTTATGCAGCCAAGGGAAATTATGTCCACGTGTGGGGAGAAATAAGAAGCTAAGTTTTCTGGGGTCACTCCTCCACTTGCTTCAACCAGTAAAGTTGGGAAGTCCTCCTTCAGTGCAAACGCTGCGACATGGAGCTCCTGTAGGTGAAAGACAGGGTGGAGGATGGTTTAATAAGTGTGTGCATATCAGGCAATGAAAATAAGAAGTTGCATTGTGATTATTTTAATTTTCTCTACCTGAGGTACAAAGTTGTCCAGCATGACGATGTCCGCTCCTGCTTGGGCCGCCTGTCTGCCCTCCTCTGCAGAGCGGCACTCCACCTCAATCTTGCTGCTGAAGCCACACACTGACCGCACGGCTTTCACAGCCTATAGAGAGAAAACAATGTATGTTGTCTTTGTGACAGATATCAGTCTTCTCTATCAGGCCTTGTTCAAGTCAGTTAAAGGGATACTTCACCTGTTGAAACATGAATCTGTATTGACATTGGGTCATATATGTAGTAGAAATGTGAAATACATTTTGAAGTTGGTGCCTTCTTGGCCGAGAAAAGGCAGAAAATGTCTTTTTGGCTCATGTGGATGAAAGACACCAAATCCCAGAATGCACAGCACTGCAGGCCACTCAAGGTCCTCTAGTTCAGAATCAGAATCACAAATACTTTATTAATCCCAGAGGGAAATTCGATCGATACAGTTTCTCCAAAATATACAGTATAGCAGTAGAAATATAATAATAAAAACATTTACAGACATATTTACTTCAACACATAAGGCCGTTTCCTCAACTGATTCAGAGATTTCTTCCAGAAGGAATTGGTATCTTGGAAATTCCTGGCAGAAAACAGACTCTAAATCATCATTTTGCGTCACTGGAAGCTCCTTTTCAGACTCAGAAATACAAAGATTTCCCATCTCAGGGGAAAATGAGGGCGGGATGCATGACCATTCAAAAATACTACCAGGTTTCTAATGATACAAAGATTAATGCTAATGGGTGAAGTATTCCTTTAAGTAAGCTCCTACCTCAGCAGGCCTCTGTCTATGTGTGGCAAATCCAGAAAAAAATGATTGCAACATATAACCCAATTAATGATAACTTAGATAAATACATTGTAAAAAATAAACAGAACAAGTATATGTGACCTTTGACCTCTTATTGGTTATTTTGAAGCGTTCAGCTCTCAGACATCCATCCATTATCTACACTGCTTACCCAATTAAAGGTTGCTGGGGGGCTAGAGCTGATCCAGCTGTCACTGTGGACTGATCACCAATCAGACACAGGGCTGACATATGGAGGCAATATAACATTCACATTCAGGGGAAATCTTTCGAGCCAGTAAACCTAACAGGCATGTCTTTGGACTATGGGAGAAAGTACTGGGTGTATGAATCCTTTAGAACATTTTTTGTGTAGTTAAAAGAGCTGCAAAACATTTAAAAAGGGTGGACATAGTTTCAGCCCACACCCTAACGATCAGTTCCCTTAATGGTTTGTAACTTTTATAATTATGTAATTATCATATAACTGCTATGTATTTTGTTGGGGAGAATTTCTTTTTATGCCAACCGAAGACTTCGAACTTCAAAATATTAAATTTAACCAATACTTAATATTAGATAAAGATTGTAATTCCAAATACGACCACTAGTTTTTTAATTAATAATTAAGATTATTTTACAGATTACATACTTAAATTTAACCTAAACTAAACTTTTTTTTTCATTTCTACAAGGTATCTGACTTTGAAACAAAAATAAAGCACTATTTTTTAGCAACTTCAATCTAGTTTCTGTGAGGCATGCTAAAGCTGTAGGGCTCTAGGAATGGCAATGTCCCAGTATCTCAGAAATGTGTTGACTTTTCCTTTGACATAACTGATTTTAAGTGAGGATTTTGAACAACCGTTCTATGAAGTTAAAATCTCAGTTTGTCCAATCCTTTGGTTTATTATCAAAGACTTCCAATGACAGTATAATCATATAATATAATCAGCTTTTACTGCACTTTGTGAAGAGCTAAACAAATTAGTATCATAGACTGTTCATAAGAAGTGGGTCTAAAAGTGAACTAATGTAGAAGAGCCCTAAACCTGGATTCTTTCTAGATACTCCACTGGTTGCAAAAGGAAGTATTAGTGTATATAAGTTTAGAAAAAGGGCCCACTTCTGACTCGATTTGTTAGCAACATAAAAAAACTCATCCCAATCCTTCATTTGAGATCATCTCAAAATACAGCTCATGTAGAGTACTAAAACTATTAATCAGGGTACGCTTTATGGAAAAGCTACCTTGTGATTGACAAGTCACAACCGCAATAACTTGGAAAATGTAATGAACAACATTTAGTTGTTCATTTTTTATGTAAAAACATTTTGTGTAAAGCGTGCGTTCTCATACTGGCCTTTAGATGGAACGGTTGAAATGAGAACCCAATGGATGTCAATGAGAGGTATTTATATTTAAAAATTGACCTCGATCTTTAAGGAATTTCCGGTCGTGTGCTCCTTTAGTGGAGAAAACGCAATATGATGACTTTTTGTGCACTGGTGCCCTACTGCATAGAGCAGGTGCCCTTTGTATTATTTTTACCCCTGCACCTCAAGCATCCTGAGTCCGCCAGTGCAATGTAGACATGTAGTTTGAAATTAATTCATGTTTTAATTTTTTATTTTTTCCTCAATAAATTGTATGGCCATACATTGTGGCAGCTATTTAACTGTCACCTGTGTGATGCTCCCTGATGCCCACACATGGTTGTCCTTCAGCATCACCATTCCACTCAGATCCTGCCTGTGCATTGACACACCGCCAACCAGCATGGCATACTTCTCCACCAGACGGAAGCCCGGGGTGGTTTTGCGTGTGCCAGCCACTTCTCCATGCCAGACTCCATCTGTTGCTATTGCCCGGAGCTGAGAGCAGCGAGTGGCGATCCCTGATGCCCGGGCAAGGCAGTTGAGAGCGGGCCTTTCACCCAGGAGGAGGCACCTTGCTGGGCCTCTCACCACAGCGGTTAGGGTGATGGCATCTGGGCCTGTGGAGGTGAAAAAAACGTATTCAGATTATCTACATCAAATAGAAAGTAACCAATCTGCCACTGGTAGTTTAGAGAAGATATGTTTTAAGATAAGTACATTTTCTAATCAATACATAGAAATGTATTATACGGATTAAATAAAGAATGTTCATTTTAATCTTAATGGTGATATGATTAAAATGATTATTACAACCCTTGGATCATATGTCAAAAAATGTTTTGAGAATGATGTATTAAAGCCCCTATTAACATGGTTGTTAATAAACCTGTATTTATGTCCCATGCAGTTGCCTTTAAAATATATTGTTAACATTTAAACCAGCCGTTGAGCTCTGTCTGTATCATTGTTTTTTCTAATCTAATGCTAATAAGCATTAATAAATAATTCTTGACCTAGACAATATACAGTAGCTCCTAAACTAAATTGATTATTTGATAATCAGATTCAAACCTCAATAAGGGTTTACAAAGTTTCCATAAGCTTCCCAGTAAATTTAACATTTACATTAAAATGGCAGGCAAAACATTTTATGTCTAATGTGTACTGGGTATTTTGTGCCAACAGAATAATATGAAAGACATGATTACTTAATTTTCTGCTTTTATTTGTCTATGTAATGTCTTTTTTTTCTGGTCTCATTTTAGAGAGCCTATGTTTGGCTTTTTTGTTTAATAGCTTTGGCTTTTTGGCTACACAAAGAGCTGTGGCA